ATGCCCTAACTAACGCAGTGTCGCCCTCCTTCTCAACTCACCTCTCGCCTATCACTTCTCGCCTCTCCGTCGCTCCTGCCTCCCAATCTGAAGCAAGTTGCCATTGCCCACTGAATACTCCAGCTGAACCACCGTCACGGTCTGTGTCTCTGATGGTCTCGAGCTCAACTCGCCAAGTCGTAGTCATCGAATCCTCTCTTCCTCGGCTTGTTGCTCCACGGCTGCGGTCTCTACTTGGCGAGTCGCGACAGCACGGAAGCAACACCCTTTGACCAGCATTGAAGTAGTGAGCCAGTGACCACCTCAATATTTGTCTCCCTCTATCGATCTTGTCTTCTCCATCTTGTTTAAGCATCTGCTCGCAAGAGTCTGTCTCCATCTTCCTCCATCGATTCAATCTTCTCCATCACTGTCAAGGTTTATTTCTTGCTATTTGGTTCTACTTCGATTCTGTTGGTTTCATATAGTGCTTTTGTTGTTTTCAGTTGCAAATTTATTTGCTTGGCGAAGATGATACCAATTTCGAATCCTGATTCTGCTTCGATTCGTTCTGTATCATATAATCTCTTTGTAGTTTTCTGTTGCAAATTTATTTATTTTTGAATCCTCATATGATATGATGAATTTACTTAAATACAACTAGAATTTTGCCATGTTCATTTTAGTTTCCAAGAATTTGAGATAACAGAGAAATGGTTCTGCTTCAGTGCTTCTACTGTGAATTTGTTTTGGGGAGGAAGATGCTGTTTAATATCTGATTTTAGTAAGAGAAAATGGTGCTGCAGTGAAATAATCATAGAAGAATATGGATTAAAGCTTATATAGATTATATATACTGTTGCATGACATTAGAAAATGCCATTGTTCGGTGCTGTGCGAATTATGAGGCTGTATTATTCGAATTTGGAATTCAGTTTTGTGTATGTGCTGTAGTTTTCTTCCTTGGAGTTACCTAGAGTGCCGAAATGCTAAAATAAGCAATGGGGATTTGTAGTGTTGGTGTTGGTGGCATGATCATATAAGCCTAATAGCTAGGTTCGAATTGTTAAAGCTTGAACTGATTATATTTTGCTTTTTTGGTGTTTCCAAACATTAAACAACTGTCTCAAAGGACTAAAGCATAAGCATGATTAAAAACTCTAATGTGATGGTTAGGATGGTATTTTTGATGCTGGAGAATTTTTTTGATTTAAGAGGAAGTGCTGTTCATTTTTGTTGAAAATGCTTAAATGAACATAATGGTATGATTTGGGGGTGGCTCACTGTTTTGAGGCACAATAATATGATACAAGAGCATTAAATTACTAAATCATACATGAGATACGCTTAGAGGTGCATATAAAGTGTTTGGGTAAAAATAGAAGTAAAATGGATAAACTCTTCCCTCTCCCCTGTTATGGACAGCATCGATCTTCTTGTTTGAAATAGTAGTCATGCTTATTTATAAACATTCTGTTATATTAACCCAAGATTTATGAAGAGGAAATGAATGAATAGTTGTAAAAGAAACAATTTACAGAACTTGCGAAGATTTGATTGTGATACTATGAGGTTATTATGGGTGAGGAAGTGAATGACATGTACTTTTACTTCATGTGTTTATATCAGTAAATAATATTCATGCATAGAATTCTAATGGAATATTTGCTTTTGGTTGTAGTCACAAATTGTTTGCTGTTAATTCTAGTACAGTACGTGCTGATTCTGGGAACATGTTGATATGGCTATGTCGTTTGACTAGCTAGACTTTAGTGTTCTTATCTTAGTGACAACTTATATTCTGATATATTGAATTATAATATTGTTTTATATATTATTTTTTAGACGCTTCATCCCTTTCTAATTAGTAATTTATTTGTGATTTATCTTTCTGAAGCAATGGATATGCAACAATCAAGAGCATGGGATCATCTTGCTAAGTTACCATTAGAGGATACAAATAGAAATATTAGAGCTGCATGTAATTATTGTAATGCACATTTTACTTGTGACCCAATGAAGCATGACACACTGTCTATAAAGAGACACTTATCAAAATGTTGCAAGAAAACACACAAACCGTAGTACTTGATGTCATGTTATGATGAGTTAGATTTATCTTGATTAGTTGTTGAAAGTTATTATAGATTCATGATCATGAATTGTAATTTGGATGATTTATTTATTGTTGGAGAATGTTACGAAGAATGTTATGGTGAATTAGTTTTGTTTATTAAAGTATTTATCTATTTATAGTTGTGATCAGATTCCCTTGCTTCAATCATTCTTAATGTCAGTAAGAAGTATGTTATAGTTGTGATATTAGTTGTTTTCTTATGGCAAAAAGCACATTATAGAATGTCTTTTTTAGATATAATTAGAAATTTTTTTCAGGGCATCACCACTTGGGCAGGAAGCCCGCCTGCCCAGCTCAAAATGGCTAGGGCTTTTATGGGCAGGACCGGCAGCCGGCTCATTATTCAGGCTGGGCATCAGACAGGGACGTGCTTTGCCCATGATCACCCCTAAATTATATTCCCAAGGACTTGACCAAGTTGGAGGGTCATATATGAAGGTAAGGAGCGTCCCTTCAAAGCAAAATTAGAGACCTTTGGGTCGCGGCAGTCTAAGTTGGATCCCGAGAGTTTGGCAACTCTTAGAATCACATTGAAAAAAACAAAAAAGTACTCTTATGATATATCAGATAATTATGTGAGGAGAATTTTATGTTGGCTTGTATAAAAATGTTTTTTTTCCCCTCCAGTGATTGTGAATTTTCCAAATACCTCCAAAAAGTCGCAGCTTAGCGTAGGGCTTAGGCATAAAAAAACCATAAAACACAGTTGCTAATATGATTTGACCACTTTCGTCCTCATCCTCAAATCTACAATCTTATTTACATGTCATGCCTTGGTTGGATCTGATCTCATATCAAAGAGAAACTTGCAATCATTCATGTTTGCCGATTCAAACAACGCTCAGATTTTTGACCCAAAAAAAAAAAACAACGCTCAGATTACTTAAACTCGATCATTTACTTTACTAGTTAAGGTCTCGCATGTGATCCGTAGAATGCTTACAATTTTGGGCTTATTGGACTGGGCTCAAGAAGGCCCATCCATGATGCTTCGCTCAAGCTGCCCATGTGATCCGTAGAATGCTTCTAATTTTGGGCTTATTGGACTGGGCTCAAAGAGGCCCATCCATGATGTTTCACTCAAGCTGCCCATATTTCACCGTCATATTCTTAACTTCATTTATCTTAACTAATGAAGTTAGATCTAGTGAAAGAGGTTAATTCCCTACAAGATAACAATCAAGTTTTGAATTCTCACTGAGAAAAGTATCAATATTTAATGCCTGACAATTCTTCAAATAAAATTTTCTCTAATAAAAAAACCTACGCGTAACTAGGAGGGGAAAAAAAAAAGCTTTGTTTATCTTTCTCATCATCTTCTGTGCTTTTACTCATTTCTTTTATCTTTATTCCTTTCATTATGAATGGAATTTAGAGCAAGAGGTTGGTTTTCCTTTTAAGTTATCGAAGGATAATTCAAAACAATTCAGTGTATTACATTCAGTTTGCTACAAAGTTACAATGAATTCCTTTTGATAAATCATTGAATACAAGAATTGCATACGGGAGGGAAGTCAAAAACTGTGTTATATATATATATATATATATATATATATATATATTTATATGCGTGTGTGTGAATTGTTTTGACGTTTTGTTCTTTTTCCAAGTTATGACGAAGCCTAGAAACTATATACCTAAAGTAGGCGAGCAATACGGAGCATGGAAATGGGTACCCATATGTTATTAAATAATGTTTTTACTTCACTGTACGCAAATAGTAAATAAACATTATATATGCAATTAGGACTAAAAAATATTGGAGGGAAGTTTGACTCGAACGGCACATGCATTGACTTGGACATTTCATACATAATACTCCTCTAGAACTTCATGTAAGACTTAATTAGCTAATTTAAGTAGATTAAAAAGTTAGTTAAATTAATTAATATAATATATATTTTTTTAAATACCTTAAAAACCTTTTTAATTCAGTCTCTCCCTCATACTTGATTATTATTGAAGGAATATCAATACGGTTAATTTAAAAAAAATAAACGTGTGAAATAAATCTCACATATAGAATCATCATTAACTCTTTAATTAAATCTTATATTAAGAATCGGAAGAGTAATTACTAAAAAAATAAGACACCTCGTCATGGTTAGATGTCCCCTTCTGGCCTTTTAACAAATCGAATGTATCCCGATTGAGTAAAGTGCAAGAATTTAGATTCTAAACCGATCTTTAAGTTCTACTTAAATGTAAGAGTGCATGTTGAATTCTCCGTGGATACACTAAGTGCTTGAATTCTTTCCATTGGGTTAAAGGAATACAATATATATAAATATATATATATTAATTGAAAGAGGATCTAAATCTAATTAATTTTTTAAGAAAGTAACTCCTTGACTTTCGCCTAGAAAAGTCGAGAAAACTTGGATAGTTTATCAACCGACGCGCACGTTGTATATATAAATCAATATATATATATATTAAATATCACTATATATATCTATATTACAGCAAAACTTAGTCTTAAGAAGGAGATATATAATGCATTTAGCTCCTTTTAAAACTCCGTAGAATTTCCTAATTACGAACTGGTCAATATGAACATGTGGAAATTTTTGTTATGGTTGACGTTGATACGCTACCAAGGAGATTGAACGAGTCTTAGTACATGGTTTACTTGTCTTGGCGAGCTGGCACGATGTTTACTGATTGTTATTACTCCCACTAAACAACAAATTAGATTAATATTCCACCACCTCTGTGTGTGTGTGTCTATATATATATATATATATATATATATATAAACAACACTATAAAGCGCCTTCAAACCAACAGCAAACCCCGACCAAGACGAGCTTAGAGTTTCCTGCACTTGCCAGCTTCAACAATTAATTAACCATGAAGGTGACACCAATTATTCTTTCTTTCTTTCTTTGTTTCTTTATGGTTTTGTTCATCGGTGAAACGCTAGCAAGCTTAGTGAACTTTGTGTGTTTCGATATTATATTGCAGCAAAAGATAGTCGTACAGGTTCCCATGCACTGTGATAATTGCAGAACCAAGGCCCTGAAAATCGCATCAGTGGTTAAAGGCGAGTTCCACCTACTAAATTCCTTTCAACAATTCCATCTATTGTTTTCCATCAACACTGTGTATGTGGTAGTGTTTTATTATCATCCTACGTGCTTTTTCAGACCAGCCTTGCTTAACTAGAATGTTTTGTGAACATATATATATGCAGGTCGGGTGCACTCGGTGGCGCTAGAAGGCGGAGATCGGGATCGAGTGGTGGTGGTCGGAGAAGACGTGGATTCGGTTTGTTTGGCTAAGGATCTGAGGAAGAAATTCACCCACGCCACCATTGTAAGCGTGGAAGAAGTGAAAGATAAGAAGAAAGAAGAAACGAAGCCAGAGGAATGGCTGCGTTACTGGCATCCTCCTCCTTACAACCCTTATGTTGTTTGTGAAGAGTACCGTGATGACGGTTGCACCGTCATGTGACCGCCGCCGGAGAGAGATAAAAATAACTTTCCGGCCGACCTATTTTGTGTGCACCTTTTGATTCTCCTGTCTAAACACAGATGAGAAGATAGCATGTCTATTGTTGTTTATGTCATGTTGTTATTTATTGTAGTAAGTGAAACGAAGATCACCATTTGAAATTTGTACGAGGTGTGATGACATTATCAAATCAAAATAGATAGACAAATTTAGTTTTTCTACCAAGGTTAGATTAATATTTAACTGCGTTATTCAAATCTGCATATACCATCTGCCACACGCAACTTGTTGATTTCATGATTCTTATTTCCTTGGTGGCATTTTCCAAGTTGATTATTATTATTTTTGGTCTTGTTTTAATATGTATGTATGTGAATTATTGGAGGTGTGATTGATTAATATCAATATCAATACGGAAAACATTCTACGAAATTTGTCCTAGTCCTCTTCGCTAACGTATTGACCAAGACGGCATTGGAGTCTTGATACTTTTTCCCTCTATATATATAGCTCTCTACATAGGTAAGTCTCCTCCATTCATTTAATCATTTAGTTGATTTAATGCTAAAAGATTACTAATTGTAACATTAAAAAAAATCAAATATATTATCAGTTTCGCTGTAAAGAAGCATTTTTCATAAGAACATTTTAAGTTATAATAATAATAATAATAATTTATTAGACTAGTTCTTCTTAGTTCTTACAAAACATGGCAAATTAAAGTTTGAACTTTTATTGAAAAAGGAGCTCATAACCGTTTTGATTATTAGGTTATTCCTAGCTAGCTAAAAATAATTATTCTCTCTTTTGTTGTGTATCTATACGATCCAATCATGAAGATTGTTAGTTATAGACATGCATGACCAATGAATTTAATGATGTTCATGGTTTCCTCAGCAGCATAATATGAGCAGACTTAAGGCATTTCACATACAAAATCAAACGATGGCCTGTATGAAAATGATAGTACACCGGTTTATTACGCCAATTTAAACCCAAAATGTAATATTTTTATAATTTTTTTAATGCATAGTTGAAGGTTTCCTATTTAATGTACGTGGTCGAGTTTGAGTCAAGGTCTTTCAATGTGAATCAGACGAGAAAAAAAATATCATGAGATGTATATCAGAAGTCAAGGTCGTCTATATAGATTTAGATATATATATATATATATATATATATATAAATCAGACAAATGTACAGAGAAGAAAAATTAGTTAGCATCCGCAATGTTTCCACATTGACGTCGACTCTAATAAACTGACTTATTATCAAGGGAGAATCTTAATTAAATCAGTTTAAAATATCAAAATTCAGATTAAAATCTGTACTTTTAACAAATTTTTAATTAGGTCAAAAGGCCTTATTAGAAATTTTTGAATGTTGTTAAAAGACTAAAATGTTCTTTTATAATTTAAAATAATATTATTTTGAAAAGAAAAAATTAAACCATGAAACCATGAAACTTGACCTTATATAGTATTTATTTATAAAAAATGTTTTACATAAGAAAATTGGAAAATACTAAGAGCAAAAAATTGAGAATGCATAATATAATATTTGATACTAACTATAATATATTGATAAGAACTTTATGGGAGCAAGGACCTTTTTTTTTTTGGTAATGGGAACATGGGCTTTTTAATTGCTTGATTCTAACACCATCAAATTAATAATTTTCTGAAGATTTTTTTGTCTAGTTAAAAAATCAGAATCTTAATGCATTAGTAAAGTTTTGCGTCAAATTTGTCATTTCTTTCTTAAGTGCTTTGCTATATATGTCGTATAGATGTTCATATCATCTTAGATTTTATAATCTCATTACTAAAATTCATACTAATAATTAATGTGAATTTGTATTAGAAATCTAAATAATTTTTTCAATATTTGATGGGACGGGTGGAGTAATTTGCAAACTTAAAGGGTTATTTTAGTCTTTTAACAACATCAAACAATCCCTAAGGCCACTCTGACTTAGAAATTTGTTAAAAGTGCATGCCTTAATTTAACTTTTGATATTTTAATTGGGATTTTCTCTATTATTAATTCTCAACCATGCTTGACTTGTTATATAAAAATTAATATCCCACTGGCTGTTGCGTTAGTTTTCCTTACTCTTATTCATATGGTTTACTTCTATATGCACACTGTTTGATCGAGAGTGTTCAGCCAAAAAACTCATGGAGGAAAAATTTGTTTAAAAGCATATATAGAGGAATCATTATTCAAATACTCTTTAAAATTATATTTTTGAAGATAGGAGTTATTAATTATTAGCAGCACTTTTCTTAGAACTATCATTTATATATAGTTATGCCGTAAAATATACATATAAAACATCATCATGAAAAGAATAAAAAGAAACCTAATAATAAGAATGATTTCAGCAAATATTGATAATATCATTAATCTTTTTAAAAGTTAGTTTTCTTAAAAAAAAATAAAAATTATTATTATTAACTTTGGTTTTTAATATAAGACCCAATTGATTAATTTGAAAATATTAAGAAGCTAAAAAGTTATATATGTTACATGATTTCTCTAAACTATTTATACACATTATTAGATTATATATCAGTTTACAAGTCAAGCAAATTAATTTGTAAGAAGTGATAGCTATTATATTTTAAAATAATTTATTTATTTTTAAATTTTTATAAGGTAGTCAGTTGAATTTTATATAAACTAGTATTTTATACAAATTTTTAAATAAAAATTTTCTTATGGTCAACAAAAAATTTGCGCAACGGTCCAAATTTTGTACTGATACATTGACCCGCTGCTTGTGGTCCTGCAGGCCCACTAGCTGCGACGCTACATGCGTCTTCCAACTTTTCATACTGGACTAATCAGTACGTCGCTTTTAATTTTTGTCGGGGGGATGTAATACTATGCAGATCCATAGACCAACATCAATGTGGAATCGATTAATTGCTTGAAAATAGTGTAATGTGTCACTATGAATTTTATATTGATGTTGATGCTGATGAATACTTATAATTACTATCTCTGATACTAATTATAAGATCTTGTATTTAGTCAGAATAAAAGGTAATATGTTCTTAAAAGTTTTTTTTTTAAAAATTTTTGACTTGACGAAACGTGTCAGACTTCAGGGAGGAATTATTCCAATTTCCAGCCCCGTGAAGTTTGACAAGATCCTAAAATAGAGACCCTTGTATGACCTTTCCACATTCCAGAATGTACAGTCATATTTTTCCTCCTATTTAACGTTTCCGACACTGCTGGTGCTGCTTAGAACTACGTTCACTCGCCCAACATTGTGCGGTTTTGGTTGTTAAAATTTAAGGCTCTTTACTTTTTTTTCCTTTCAAATCAATCTAGTATCTTAAAATAATTTTTAATAGATTTAATATCTAAAAATGTTTTTCAGTGGTAGTTATTACCTAGCAACCTGTACTTTGAACTATTTTTTAGTAGTAACTAATATCCTAAAAATGGAAGTTGAACACTTTTTTTTTTAATCAGACCAATATCTATTATTTTAAAGTATTTTTTTAATAGTATCTAGTATCTTAAAATAATTGTTAGTGTGTTTAATACTTTAAAATATCTTTACAGTAGCACCTAATATCTAGCAAGTTGGACATCTAATACTTTTTCAAAAACACACGGTGTTCTAAACTAATTTTAGGATATTGAGTGTCATTACGAGAAAATTACATAGGGCATCAGATGTATTGAAAATTAGTTTAAAATACTAGGTACTATCGAGAAAATACTTTAGAGTGCAGCTTGTTAAGTATTAGATGTTACTAAAAAATATTTTTAAATATTAGTTGCATTAAAAGTTATTTTAAGACATTGGATACTACTAAAAAAAGATTTTAAAATAAAAAAATGTTGATTTGAAAAAAAAAAACAAGAAGAAGTAAAGAGCCTTTAGTTTTAACACTCAAAACAATTTAGAAGGTGTTTGGATACCCTAATAGTTACTTTTTAGAAGTATTTTTTTATAAATTAAGACAAATTCCTCCACATATTTATTTTATATCATAAAAAACTTTTAAGACTATAATTTTAATTTTATCCAAATACTCCTGTAGCTTTGGATTCGAGAGAGGAAGAGGATGATGGCAAGAATGGAGAAGGAAAGCCGGTCCCCCATCGAGGGCCCCACGCATGCAAGTGGCGTTGAAGTGATTTGAGTGTCCTGTACTCTTACACACACACAAACACACACACACACGCCAGTGTACAAAGACTTGGACCTTTCCCATTCTCAGCCGCATCGACTTGGAAATTATACTACCCCACCTTTTAGTTTTTAATATAAAAATTATTTATGATTAAATTTAATCTTAAATATAAAATCGTACATTAATCTATATTTTGTTTTTTTTACTTTAATCCACATTAGTGCTTCGAATCACCCATTAATTTAAATTCAAGTATTATCCCTATATATTAATATCGGGCCCCCGGATATATGACATACTCATCTTACTTTATTTATAAAGTAAAGGGAGATATTTTTTGTCCTTAATTAATATAAGTTATCTCTAATTTGTTGTATTGACTGCTAGTTTCTTGAAAATAGCATATAGACGTATATGAAATTAGGATAAATTTAAAAAGCTAAAATAGTTAAGATTAATAAGATTTAATATTTTTCTCAGTTTTAGTTTAAGATATTGAACTGCAACCAAAAGAATATCTGACAACATGTTTTTTTTTGTTTATTAATTTATAAGTATTTAATTCAAAAAGAATCTTGCTTATAGTATCCAGCCTCTTTTGCTTGAACGAAGTATTATCGATGAAGTTGTAATTTCCACGCGTAAGTCAATGCTACGTAAGTCTATAATTTTGGAGTTTTCTTTTTTGTATTTTACTTATCCAGAATAAAAAAACTAACAGTTGATAGAACAATTAGAAGGGACTCAACAATATCCTTTAAAATAATGAATTTCAAAATTTCAAACCCTTGAATAAAAAAAAAATCATGCTAAGAGAGTTATCCGTTAAGTCCTAATAATACTTAAATATATATGATCCTTTGCACTTCAAGTAATATGATTTTCTATATATATATAAATTAATATTATAATTTGAATCTATAAGATATATATTTAAGGAAAATTGTGCATATAATATAAATTTTGTGTGAAATTTTAAATACATTTACGGACTTTATATGGAGGACCGGCATATGATGTTTAGCACTACTGACAATGCTGTTCTAAACATGTAATTTGACTAATAAAGGGAAACTATTAAGAGTTTAGTTATAGTGGGAATACAAAAGGTCAAATAATGCATGGACATAAGATGAAGAGATTTGAAGCCAAACAAGTTAATAATTTAATATACTAAATTAGCCAATAATTTAATATAGATACGAGTCTTCCGGTCCTAAGACTAATTTAAGAGTTAATATCAGTCATATATGCAAGACTTATTTAACATGTTTATTAATTTTTTTAGATTAATCCTATTAATATTTTTTCAATAACAATCAAGTGGGAGAGGAAGAGAAGGAATTAAAAAAATGATTATGATATTTTAAAAAAAAAAGTCATATTAACTAATCTAACCAACATTCTTAATTTACGTAAATTAGTTTATTATGTTTTACATTAAGTACTAAAAGAGTGCTATATAATAATTTATTATATTCTTTGTGTATTTCTGTTAATATCAGCATGAACAGGTAATTAAAAAAAACGAAGTTACCTGTTCTAAGACGGAAATTTAATACTAACTCCGGTTTTTAATATAAAATGTAACTGATTAATTTGAAGAAATCAAGAAAATTATTATATTAGTTTAAACACATAAATATTTTAGAAAAATTATGTAATATATATTATAATTAAATATTTTATTATTTTAATCTTTCTGAAATTAATTAACCGGGTCATGTATTAAGATAGAACTACTGTTGTACTAGCATGACAACAAGGAAGAGATTACTGCCAGCTCCACATCCATGCCAAGGATTAGTTAGGCGGGTCAATCTTTGAGTCCAATGGGCTTGATCTAAAAACTAAAACCACCCAACATCACTTATCCCCTTCTAATTTTTATGCCTTTTCTGATTCTGATAAGTCGAGTCTCTCTACTATTTACGGTAGAGTGAAAACAATGAATTGACATATTAATTATTAAAAAGATCCCTAAAGTAATATTTCTCTCATCAGTCTATAAAAATAACATTTAGCCAACTCTCTATACTTGATCCCTTATATATATAATATCAATATTTTAAATGATATACTCCTTAAAATAATTAATTATTTTAAGAAAATAAAAAGGAAAAAGAAAAATCAAATTCAAACAGTTCATATGTGATGAGTTTTGGGTTACCAAACTCATTCCCATCTAAATACAGCATTTAGTTACTCAAGCAATTAATTAATTCAGTATATAATTTAAGAAGAGACAAAATGTTGGACTATTAATTCCGATTAATAAGGAACACAGAGTAGCAAAAGTTGCAGTAAATGGGGTGCCTTCATTAGCCAATACACAGAGACAAGGTAGGGTACCAAAATATACTACAAAAACAAAATGAAACGACATAATCTAAATACCCAACCAAAAAAAAAAAAGTTTCATTCACACAACAACTTAAATATCAAACCTTTACGTCCGCTAGTAGAGTTATCGCCCTTCACAATAAGGGACATATATATACATACACACGAGTCTCACGCTCATGTAAGATCAAATCCCTGCGAATTACTATTCAAATACAATCGTAAACCTGAGGATCAGTTGGAGGGTCCTTGTTCATGAATTTGAAAGTGCTGCACAGTCCAACAGGGAAGCTATCATCACACCTATCCCCAGATCCTTTCTTGTTACAGTACCCTTCATATTCGCATATACAAAACGGCACTTCCTTAACCGGCTGCAATCCAACTTCCTCAGCTATCTTCTCTATTCTCCACTCACAGAATGGATATGCCGTCTTGTGTGTTACGTGAATTTCTCCATCTTCACTGACCATTTCTCTGCTACTCTTCAAAAAGCCTCTCACCACTCGCTTGTGTGACCTGAAATGGTATAATAATCACTAGCTGTTCAGAAGGAACATTCACATCTAACTTACATAGTTATGGTTGATTATATCAATTTGATTTACTCTATTTGAAAGGAGTGGTGCTCTCGAAAGACGAATCCAGCGTGGGGAAAATTGAAGACGATTCGATCAAACAGCTTGTGCTGCAGAAAAGGATGTTGGCTCATTGTGTGTGCGTTGACCTCATGCAGAATGGTACAGCCTAGGTTCTCCAGTTGAAGCAGGTTTTGTAGGGCTCTTGAGTAGTTCCTTGTCAAGGTATCTGAAATATTTGCTTCTTCGTCAACAGCAAAGTTAACAGGAAACTATTAAACTAATCCCATTCATAAAAGGGTTTTCATAATTAGTTAATTGAAATTATTGAACGTTGAGATATACCTTTGGAGTCCAGAGACGTGGCAACCATGTTAGAGGCAGAACCAAAAGCCTTGGCCAAGCACAGTGAGAAGGAGAAATCTCCTTCACCCACTAGCAGTATCTTGTGCTTGCTGCTGTAATGCTTTATCGTTTTCTCTTCCATCCTCACCCCTCAAATTTGATTAACGAATCATCAAGAGAAGAATTTATAGGTAATTAAAGCAGAATGAGGCCACGAATATATATATATATATATATATATATGGAGAGAGAGAGAGAGAGTACACTCGCGCACGCGCGCATGGAAGGACACTGCAATTTAGATAATGTGTATTAATTAATTCTCTAGTGCGTTGGACTCACCTAATGAGTTAATTAGGAGATATCATATAGACATGTTTTGGGAACCGTAGTGCTTCCACTTTATGAGTATTCTTGGAATAGGGAAGGAATTTTTTAATTTCATCACTTCAATAGTATATAATATTTTCAATTTCAGTTGATGATTTTGATTTGATGGTTACTGTAAGTGCATTGACGCGTGTGTATTTGAGAGAGCCAGGGGTCAGCTATTCTTTCATCTACTTATAAACACGTTTCATATACTTGAGATAAGATTAATCTTATATATTTACTTCGTATTTTATAAATCACGATTAAAAAGTTACTTATAAGTTATTTTAAATGTATTCTGCAGGCATTTCAAACTAATCTTTTTACTTTACGATTGAATTCAAGTGGGAAATTCTACAACACATGAGCATATCTTGGCAAAAACTTTTTGCTCATGTTTGCTGGAAATATATGGACTATCGGAAGCAAAAAGCTCCATCCAAATGAAAAGATCCCAGAAGGAGATCTTGCTTTCACTAATACCAAAACATTATTAGTGATCTCAGGAGTTAGGGTTCTCCAGTTCAAGCAAGTTCCTATGTGTGCGCTTTTGCACAGTAGTTATTAATTTTCAACAATGCGTCTGAAACATTTGCCTACGCATCATTTTTTCTGGATAAGTCTGATCTCACATTCATATGTTTTGGGAACTGTGAGCTTCCACCCTAAAATCTAATCCCGATATGCAGTGCTCTGACCTTCTGGGGAATTTGAAAGTTATTTTCATTACTTTAATTGTAATTTCCACTGTAAGTTAAAATTGCTTCACTTGTATGTCCTTGTTTATGATTCGCCATCACCTTCCTTAATAATTTCGTTTACAACGTTTCAACGAAATAAAAAAGGACAGGAATTGAACTCTATTTGAGCATTGAAACTAGTTTCTGTGGCCAATGCATGCATCGCAGTTTAAGCAAATTAAAATATTTACTTGAGAAGACGATTATCAAAAAGCTTTTCTTAGAGAATATATAGAATGTTTGGCACATGGTATAAGAGTGCTTCCTACACACTGTAGGGTCTTTTTCTTTTTGCACTACAGCTAGAATTAGCATTCACTTTATGTAATTATTAGTTCCAGTTGATTGTAGTCTCCATTACCATCAACACATCCTCTTTGTAAAACCTCATGAAATGATTTAGAAACAATTATATCACATTTATAAAGAAATTTCATTGCATATCCAAACTTCAATTCCACTCGAATGGTAGGCCATCAAATCGATTTTTTGAAAACCAATATCATTCTGTCACGTTAATTAATAACACAATATATACTGGATGATTTAGAATCTGTTTAGAGTAGCTTATAAGTAGCTTTTTAATTGTAATTTACGGAATACGAGGTAAATATGTGATAGGAGTTTTGTCTCAGCTTACGTGAAACTACTTATAAGTGATTTCAATCGTGATGGCAAATAAGACCTTAGTACTTGGTTCAGTGAATTCTTCTTCATTTCAAGAAAGTGTTGGCTTTACAATGATAAAGCAGCATCAGCAAACTGGATGGTGTTACAATTGCATATCTGATAAATAACAAAACCAACAATACTACCATACAACATGGATAATCAATTACTGTAACCTACATTAGATATTTACAAAATACACAGATCCTGTAACCGAATGCTGCTAATATTTTTTGCACCTTAGAATGACATATCTTCAATGATTCCAAATTAGCTCCGGCCTGCACACCATAACTTAATTGTCAACCATCCCTCTACTTTGATGAAAAATAGGGAACCAAATAAACTTGGACACGTGTATATTCCCTGCGGGATTAACTTTAAGAAAATAGAATCATGAAATAAAAATACAACACCAAATTTATACTGAATCTAACCATGTTTTAAAACTAATATTTTGTGGAAAATAACCCATCCAAATGATAAACTTAGGCTACAAAATCATAAATTTGTCAGACGAATTCTCTATAAGATCAGCCCATTAATTAAAGTCTACCATTATTATAAGGACTATCTTAAAAAAATAGATAAATATGAGAGACAAAGTGAATTGAGATCTTATATTTAGAACCAAAATAAAAATTAAACGAGCTCTTATATTAAAGACTGGAGGTAGTATTCGATTCATTGCCAACAGCAAGTTAACAAGATCCTATTGTGAATTATTCCCATTTATAAATGGGTTTCCATCATTACCTAAATGAAATTCTTGAACAGTGAGATAACTTTGGAGTCCTGAGACATGGCGACCATGTTCGAGGCGGAACCGAAAGCCTTGGCCAAGCAGAGTGAGAAGTAGAAATCTCCTTCACCCACCAGCAGAGTATCTTATGCTTGCTGCTGTAGTGCTATATATATATATATATATATATATATATATATATACTTTTCTCTTCCATAATCCTCACCACTCAGTTTGATTAACGAATCATCAACAGTAGAATTTATAGGTAATTAAAGAAGAATGAGGCCGTGAATATATGTATATACATGGAACGACACAGTGATCAGATAATTTCTATTTAATCAATTAATTTAGGCGGTTGGAATCGCCAATTTCTGGGTAAATGTTTTGGGAACTGTGGAGCCACTTTATATTATGACTATGAGTATGTATTTCTTGGAATAGTGAAAGTGGTCTAAAATTTCTTTAAACTTGTAAATCTACCACTCCAATAATCCTAAATGTAAATCTAGTATATTTAGTGCTAGTTTATCAATTTTGTCCTTACTTAACTCTCTTTGAAAAGAGGGGAAAAAAAGATATGAGAATTATTTGTAAATATGTAGAGAGAAAAAGACTTCAATAACGAAGAAATTAAAAAATTGGTTCTTTTAACAAAATCTTGTTAATTTAATACATTTTTTAATATGCAAAAATATATTATAAGTGACTTATTCTAAGGACTGGAATAACAAACATTATAAATACCAATGAAAGTTAATTTGCTATGTACGTAGTGCTGCTGGTTCTCAAGGGCTAGGTTTCCGGTAATCCATGGATTGGCCCAAAACGACTGTTGAGGCTTGAAAAAAGGCAAGCAAATTAGAATTCGCTGGTAGGTCTGTCACATTCAATTTTGATATATGCCAAACTAGGAAGAACAATAAATACTCTTCCGGTTCTGAATATAAGATCTATTTTATAGTGTAAGTTACACTATAAAATAAGTTTTATATTTAGGACCGGAATAGTACATGTTTAAATGAAAAGGTTCAACAGTACACTTCAAATCATAGATAGCTTTAATTAATGGTCTCAAAGATCATCTCCTACACTTCCTAATTAAGAATAAAACGACTTTATTTTGTCTCTCAGAATAATGTTCGACTTTTTCTTAGTCAATATTGAAATTTCTAAAGGTATATGAAAAGAAGTGAACTTTAGTAAATTATTTTGCGACATACTTCATACATATACATATATCTTAAATATGATCAAATATGACCAATATTGTTAAAAAGTTACGTTAAGTGTAGGCAAATCGAACGTAAATATACATATATATATTTTCATGATTTCATCGAGTTCAACAGAAACAACAACAAAAAAGTGAAACAACGAAGCCTAATACCACCAAAAACCAACTGTACATACAAAGAAGAAATGAAGCTAATGTTTGCTTGAAGCGCTGGCGGCCATGGCACGAAGTTCAGAAACCTCTCGAGTGAGAGATTCCACCTTAAGAGCTAGTGCCTCAGAACTGGACCCCTTGATGAATATGAAAGTTGAGCAATCTTTTACGTTGAACTTCTTCCTCCCATCGCCACTCTTCACACTGTAACCTTCATAATCACTCACCCAAAGTGGAACTTCGTCCTTCAAGTACAGCCCAGTACTGCTTCCAAGTGTCTCCAGGTCCCACTCACTATAGGGGTGCGTTGTCCTGTGTGTCACATGAATTTACTACTATACAAAATATTTAATTTATAATGCCTGATTTAGTATTTATTTAACAAAATGTTATAGCTAGCACTCAATAATTTATTTTAAAAAAACATATTCTGTAGTACTTTTTTAAATAAGTAGTACAATGCATTTCCTTTTAAAAAAAATTATAAAAATCTCCTGTGGCATATTGTTAAAAAAAGTTACAGGATAATTAGGACTTATTGTAGAACCACTACAGAAAATCCTTTTCTTTAAAAAAAAGAAGAAGTTACAAGCTTGCTGCAACACTTTCTGAAGAAAATGCTACAACAGAGCATTTTCTTTAAAAAACTTATAAAAATCTCTTGTAGCATTTTAAACATAAAACGCTACGAGATATGCCCCTGCTGCAGTATTTTCTACAAGTGATGTCTTTACCCCTCTTTTTTCTCTCTCTTTTTTTAACCCACGCCTCACAACTCTCGCTAGCTTCTCATAGTTTCGCCATTTTTTTAGCTTGCTCCCTATTTCTCCGCAGCTCCCTCTGGTCTCTGTACTTACTTCTTCCTTTTCCCCAAGCGTTGCCACCACTCTATCCCTGCTCCCCAGTTTCCCTCCTCACTTCCACTTTCCATACCCATTCCCACCTCCTTCTTTTCGTCCCCACCCATGATTCCCACCCTATTTTTTCTTTCCTCATTTTCACCCTTTTCCCTTCCTGATCTTGATTACAGTCCCCACCCTTACCCACGATCCCCACTCCCTTCCTATCCTAACTCCATCTTCTTTGTCTCCCCCTTCTCGTATCCAATTTCCTAATTCCCATTCTTATTCCTTCTGTCCTTACACCTCTTCCCCGTCCCCATGCTCTTTTTACTTTGTTTGTTTATTTATTTTTACAAGGCACTCAATATAGTTCAGCTCAATTTACAATACATTGTAAGTATTTTTATTTTTTAATTATTATGGTATCAGAGCCAAGTTCGGGTCAACGTACCAATGAGAATGCTAGGCCCTAAAGGGGTAGATTATGAAGTCCCATATCAACTGGAGAGAAGAACAAAGCATGCTTTTATTAAGGTGCGGATACTTTTTCCTCGTAAACTCGTTTTCTGGGTGGCTACAGCTGCACCTATGGAAACAAAACGATGAGATGGCTACAGTTGCACCAAAGTAGACAATATCTATGAGTGACACCTGGGGACGTTAGCCGATGTGATACTTCACAATTCACCCCCTTAGGACCCAGCATCTCGTTGACACACCAATTCAACCTTGGGTCTGATACCAAATGTAATTTTCCTAAGTCTTGGAGTGCAGCCGTAACCACCAGAGAGCGTTGCTCATAGATATTGTCTGTTTTGGTGCAACCATAGCCACCTCACTATTTTGTTTCTCTGGATGCAGTCGTAGCCACCCAGAAAACACGTTTACGAGGGAGAGACATCAACACCCTTTACAAGGCCATTAAGTGTTGGTAATATAATGATGGAGATAAACTGGTCCTTGATAAATCTATCTATAAAATGGGCAATACTCACCAATTTTATGGATAAGTTCACTTACACGATGTACTATCTTAATTACCACCAACATAGCCAAAAAGTTACTCTACGCATTTGATGTATTGATTTATTGAAAGCATGGAGGCCGGTTTATATATTATGATATAAGTTAAGTTAAAGTTCTCTCGTTACATATAATCATGTATTTTGTTTTTAAAATATTAGTATTCAATGTCATTTAATTATAAATCCCTATGAAAAAAATATAAAGAGATGGTCATATGTGATTGGAGAACTTAATGTGATAGATAAGTATTCAACCTTATCCGGAGAGTATGCACTTAGCAATGTTGTTAACAATGATTTAATAATCATTAAAATCATTTCATTACCTAACATAACTACATCTAGAAGATAATTACCCCAAATATTTAATCATTCTCTGGTCCTTAATGTAAGATTTAATTAACTAATTTGAATAAATTAAGGATATTAGTTAAATTAGTTAATATGATATTTTTTTTTCTAAAACACTCTAATCATCTTTCTTAATTCTTTTGTCTTTTCTATTTGATTATTGTTGATGGAATATCAATAGGGTTAATTTTAAAAAAATTTAATAAACATGTGAAATAAGTCTTACATAAAAGACTAATATCAATTCTTAAATTAGGTTCTACGCTAAAGACCAAAAGAGTATTATAATAGATTGATCTATGACAAACATTTTAAAATTTGTAAAAGACCATGTCTAATTTTTTTTTTAAATAAAGAACTTTCATTGGCCAGCAAAAATTATAAATTAGGGAGATTTCCAGTCTTCTTATAATTTGTTTGTGTCTTTTTCTATAACGTCATGCCTATTCAGCAAGCTGTCGTCACTCTCTAACAAGTTCAATGGATAAATTCAACATTCGATTTTGGCTTGAATGCACGTCCAGGCTTTATCAAACGGCACCGTACGTTAGCAACAATTTCTATTTTTTTGGTAAGAGCAACAATTTATTATTATATTAAACTATCAAGATCAAATTGCTAATTGTATTATTGTACGAATGATATAGATAAGGGAAAGTGTTTAATTTGGCTCTCAATAATCGGAAATTAAAATTGGCAAAATTTTAGCAACTTCTTTTATATTCGCAGATCATTTCATTAAATCGATCATTCCATTTATACTCCAAAGGTTAAAATACAAAATAAACTGCATACATATAAAAAATTAAATGGATCATAACAAAAGTAATCCTTTTCAATTTCGGTGGTAGCACTTTGGAAAAAGGAACTAATTAATATTTTATTGGTTTCTTGTTGACATAAACAAGCTGTCGTCATTTTCATTAATTATTTCGTCATTGACTTTTGACGGTAAATATATGATTTAGTATAATCCGTCAGTGTTTTGCAGGTTTAGAGACTTGAAGCTTAATCAGTTTTAATAATATTTCTTGGCTTCTTCTTCATCTTACGGCAGCAAGCTATCGTCATTAGGATCAGCTTCCTCCTATACTTAGTTTCGTTCATATTATATCTCATTTAATTAAATAATCATTACTTTAATCGATAATCCATAATTATATTAAGTAACCTCGCACGTGGATGCCATAATAAACAGCTGGTAAATCAAATTAAAAGAAAGACAACATGTCATGTCGATGTTAGCACGATAATCGTGAGTTGATTTTGTTAATAATATGGGTAAAAATTGTCAATAATAACTTCCTAATATATTATTAAGAATAATGGTGTTAAAGTTTTCCTCAAACTTAAGGGCATCGGTAAATTTAAAGGAAGAGATTAACAACCAGCTAAGCCACGTGTGTTGTATTAAATCAATTTGAGGAATAAATAGAAGTATTCATAACTTAGGAATAATATAGCTTAGATTAGCTTACAATAAATTAAAATGAAATCAAATTAAATGTCAAAAATAGCTGTTAAAATGAAATTAATTATTTGGTTAGGTTGAATTCCCTTACTTAACATCTGAATAAATGATGCGTGTTCATATTTTTTTAGTAGTCCTTATTTCGTGCCAGTTTTTACACTAAATTATCAAACAAGCGTATTGTCTCGGATTGACAAATATATATATATATATATATAAATAGATGATGAGATATAAGACCAAGTCTAAATTGGTTTAATTTATTTTTTCAATCATAAGCACAAGAGCAAGCTACGTATCCCAGTTCAGATTACTTCTAAGTTCATATTAATTACATTCATTTAACAAATATTCTCCGAAGCTAAGTATGGAATAATATAATATTCAAGTGGTTGTGGTTTGTGAGAGCAATTAATTAATTGTACATATGATTCATGTTGTGGAGAAAAACAAATATATACATATAAAAAAACGACATAGAACAAGTCGTGTCAACTGAGTTAAGCCGATAATAAAAATGGCAGAAACTGCAAGTGGATGTGTGACAGCAATGAAAAATGTTCCATATTATGAAGAGAAATAATCAAATGATAAAAAAAGACGAGGAAGAAGTGAAGTCAAGTCATCAAAACTAAGGGAAGAAGCAGTGCTCATTATCTGAAGCCTGATTTGGATAATTTAGATTTAAAATTTTTAATATATGTTTTTAAGTGTTAAGATTCAATTTTAACTCCAATCTTATTTCCCCCGCTGCCGATATAAGAATCTTATTGGTAGACAATCTGTAAGTACTTCTATACATGTTCTTTGAGCATGGAGGCATGCCGTGGTCCTGGTAAGTCCCTAGGACCTAATTTACCTTAACTTTTTATAATAAAAAAATAAAAAATTATTTAAAATATAAAAAATATTTAAATTTAATCAAAATCATTTAAAATCAATTTGAATATAATGGTCTAGATTATTAAGATAAACACCCTATGCTCAGAGAAGGAGAGCCAATCAAATAATTCCTTGTAATGCTTGTTTGGAATGACTTATAGGCAATTTATAAGTAGTTTTTTAATTATAATTTACGAAGTAAAAGATAACCATATATAAGAGGAGTTTGTCTCGATTTTTATGAACATGCTTATTGATAATGAAATCAAACAAGTCATAAACTCTGCATGTGTTCTTCACCGCTTAATATAAGATGGCATTATAGTTGCAAGGGATCAAGCAAGTGATAAGAGACGATGGGAGAAAACAAAATGGCGGAAACTGCCGCGAATTTCGTGTCGGAGACGCTGCTCTGATCTCTTGAATTAATTTGCATACCTAACTTTAGGATAAATAATAATGATGCGTACGTCTTCATACTTTTTTCCCCACCTTACCTCATGATAATTTTAAATTTTGACACTAATTATTAAACAAATATACTACTTTGGGTTCTTAATATAAGAGTTAGCTGACTAATTTGAGTAGATTAAAAAAATTAGTTAAGTTAGTTATTTATAATAAATAAGTATTGTCTTTTCTAAAATATCCTTATTAGTCAAGTATTTTGACTAGAACTACTATTATTATAACGACTACTTTGAAATAAAAATAAATAAATATAAGAGACAAAGTAAATTAAAATATTATATTTAAGATCAAAATAAAAATTAAGTGAGTTTTTATATTAAAATTAGAGGTAGGTTTTCTTAGGGGGAAAAAAAGAAGAGAGAGCATCTCGATGTCCTCTGACCAATATTGCCAGGGTGACTTATCCTCGTTTTATACAAAGCAGCCAATATCTATCTTTGTTTTAAACAAGTATTTTTTTTTCCACATATCATAATTTACGCGTACAAAAGTAAGCTACCCCATTTCAGATTACGTCTGACTTCTAAACCTGATCAAGTTCATATTGGTTACTTCAAAAGAAAAGCTGCTATATATATATGCGCTGGCTTATAAACTAGTATGATGGGTACTAGATGTAGAAGCTGGAATCCATAATATATTTACATCAAATTACTTTATCTTCTAATTAAGTTTATAAGTGTTTTAATTTCTCGAATATTTTTATTGATTGTTTATATTAAAAGGGTTTTTATATCAATGTTAATTTCAATACATATAATTAGAAAGAATATTTTAAGAAAATCATATACAAATTACACATTTATTATAGATAAGTTAACTAATACAATATCCGTAGCTTTCTTAAGTATCAGGACGCAGGCCAAGAGAGGAGGAGATAATAAACATGGCAGAAATTTACTGTGGGGAATAAAAATATATAATCCTCAGCTCTGAATTAAAATACACTTTTTGGTTGTTAAATATCAAGTAATGTATGCAAGTTGGTGTTCTGTGACAGCAATCGTGAATGTTTCATATTATGAAGAGAAATAAGCAAATAAAAAAAGACGACGAAGTGAAGTCAAGTTATGAAGCCGAGAGAGATGAAGTTGTAAAGCTGCTCGTGCTTCGCCCACTTATATATACGATGGCATTATAGTTGCAAGGGAAGAAGCAAGTGGAGAGAGAATCGGAGAAAACAAAAAATGGCGGAAGCCGCCGTGAGCTTCGTGACAGAGACACTGCTCCGATCACTGGAAAATGAAGTGAGGTTGCAGATGAGACTGAAATCAGAAGTGGCGAACATAAGCCAAGATCTACAAACCATCAAAGCGTATCTGAGAGAAGCAGATATCCAGGCAGAAAGACCAAACACGAGCAACACGTTGAAGGACTGGGTGAAGAACGTGAGGGAAATAGCTCACGACATTGAAGATTGTATCGATGATTACAGGTACGAGGTGGCTAGGCGCCGAGTAGAGCAACGTGACCTTGCCGGTCGGGCTCGCCGGGCTCTTGGGTTCGTGACCGGGATTGTATCAACCCACGGAATCAGCGACAAGATACAGGAGATCAGGGAAAGAATATCTCGCCAGGATGGGATGAGAAAAAGCTTGGGCCTCACCGGAGGGGATGAAGCTGGCAGCGGCGCCGGAGGCCAAGACTGCTGCCGAGGCTGCTGCGGAGGAGGGTCGAAGGGCGGAGGGTCAAACAGATGGTCTTGGCATGAGCAAAAGCAGGTAGCGGCTATCTCTGGGAAGGATCGGTTGGTGGGCTTTACAGAGCAGAAGAGAGACCTGGCGAGTTGGCTTACGCGCGGCAGAAATAACTGCACCGTTATACCAGTTGTTGGCGCCGGCGGACTTGGTAACTTAATTTCTTGCTTAATTTCTCTATTATTAATTAGTGTTCTTAACCTATTTGTATGATTATTAAAAATAATTTTTTAAATTTTTTACCAACTTTGTTTCAAAAATCTAAGAACTTTTTAGCTTTATTCATGTTTAAGATACACTACTATATCTCATGGGTATATAAACTCTACATGATAGTGAAGAATAAAATTACATATTCATATATATAATTTAATAATATGATTTATAAATGGGATCACAGCAGTAATAACTAATACTCCTCCGGTCCTTATTATAAGACCCAATTTAACTTTTTATTTGGTCCTAATTATAAGACCCAATCCATTTTCTCTCTTATATTTTTACATTTTTTTCCAAGATAATCCTTCTAATAATGATAGTTTTAGCCAATATACTTAATTAGCAAGAATATTTTAGGAATAACAATACTTATTTATTATAAATAACCAACTTAACTTACTTCCTTAATCTCCTCAAATAAGTCAATTGGGTCTTATAATTAGGACCGGAGGAGTATTAATTAGCTATCAGTCTATCTCTTTACTGAAAATCTGTTTCCTTTGCCGTGTCCTTCTATTTTTTGTTACCTTCTCAACTAATTTCATGGATTCAAATTATTATATGCTCTCATGTGCTGTTAGATGAATGATGGTGAATTATTGATGATATTAGGTAGATTTCAAATAAAGAAATTGATTACTCACATATTCTAATTACTTGTACACATAGAAGTTTATATAAAGGTATAAATATAGAATCTGGAATTATATATGAATGGATATAATTTATACACCATTTATTATGAAATATATATAATTTGATCCCTCTGAAATAATTTTGATGGAATAAAATTATACGAGTTGAATTATTTATATAGGTAAAATCATACATTATGTTTAATCTTTTACCGTTACATAAAATTTCAGTTTGGTTATTTAACTTTAAAAAATATCTTTTTAATTTTTTAATCTCAAAATTGTTAACAAAAAAAAAATCCTGATACTAAGATCTTAAATAATGTTAATGAAATATTTTTGAATATTAACGTATTAAATTTAATTTTAAAATAATCATTATTATTATGAAAAATCATCATTTAAGATTAATAATTTTAAGATTAAAAAACTAAAAATATATGCTTGAAATTAAGAAAATTGATATAAAGTTATACGTTGCGCACCCTTTATTTCTCATGGATTATATTAATACTCTAATAATGATTGGGTTCAGGCAAGACTACCCTTGTCAGTCATGTATATGGTCTCAAAGAAGTGGAGAACGCATTCGCCCGACGAGCATGGGTGGTTGTGTCCCAATCTTACGACCCAAGGCATATACTCAAGATTCTGATCAAAGAACTCCGGAACCAGAAGATTTTAGATCAGTCGGACACCGACTTGTGGCATTTGAACGAAGAAGTGCAGACTTGTCTCAAGAACAACAAGTGCTTAATTGTGTTCGACGACGTGTGGGACACCAATTTCTGGAGCAGCATCAAATCCATATTGCCATCACAAAACAGAACCAAAACCAGGATCATAATCACCACCAGAAGTCAGGAAGTGGCAAAGCATTGCAAGGACCAGGCACACCCAGCCGAAGTAAAAACCTTCCCTTTGAAACGTCTAGAGTACCAAGAGGCCAAGAAACTTTTCAATCAGATTGTGTTTGACGGTGATGAATGCCCAAAAGACCTTCAAATTTTGTCTCACGAAATAATCCAGAAATGTGAAGGGATGCCACTGGCTATTACCACAATCGCGAGTCTTCTTTCAAATGCAAATACAGACGACACTTCCCGATGGCAAAATGTGTCTAAGAATCTGAGTCGGATCTTAGCTGCAGAAACCAATCCCGAGGTCCGAGCATTTAACGCAGTCGTATCAGAGAGTTATCATAATCTTCCTTATCACCTCAAACTTTGCTTCCTCTATTTGGGTATGTTTCCTGAAGACTACCGTATCAACTGCAAAAGACTCATTCGTTTATGGATAGCAGAAGGGTTTGTCCAAGAAGGAAAGACAGAGACTTTGGAAAAAGTTGGGATGAATTACCTGCAAGAGCTGATAAATAGAAACTTGGTTCAGGTTGTTAATAATTTTATTTAATATTTATTACTATTCATAAATAAATGAACTGTAATTTTGACGTAGATGTCATTTTCTTCTTCTCAGGCTGCAGTGACTGATTTTGATGGCAAAGTTAGAAGTTGCAGAGTTCATGATATGATGCGCGGCTTCATCTTGAAGAAGTTTGGGGAGATGAATTTCTGTCATGTTTTGGACAACAGTGGCTCGGCTTTGAGCTTCTCAGACTCGCCCCGAAGATTATCAATTCAGCAGGATTTCCACAAAAGCGGGCTTCTTGATGTTGCTTCAGATCCAACCTTGGTGAGATCTTGTATTTTGTTGAACACTAAAGGGATTTCACCTAGTTTGTTGCCAAATTTCAAGCATATGAGAACAGTGGATTTCGACGATGCTCCTCTTAATTTTCTTCCTGACGATATTGGAGATCTATACCTCCTGTAATATCTGAGTTTAAGAAACACAAGAGTCAAAAAGCTTCCTAAATCAATCGGCAAGCTTCAGAACCTTCTCACTTTAAACCTCAAGAACTCCCAGGTTCAAAAGCTACCTATGGAAGTAAACAGGCTCGTCAAGCTTCGTCAGCTTCTAGGTTATTCATACCACGGCGGCAGCACTGATTCAAGCATGGATTTTTCTGTCCAGGGATTGGAGATGCCAGAAGGATTTGGGAATTTCCAGTCTCTCCAAATACTAAATGCTATCAATTTTCCAAGGAAACCTTCCATAATTAAAGAATTAAAGAAGCTGAAGCCGCAGCTAAAGAAGTTGGGCATCACAAAGGTAAGAAGCAAACATGGAAAAGAACTATGTGATCTCATAGATGCTCTAAGCAACCTTACCTCGTTGTGGATAGGAGCCGTGGACGAGGATGAATTTCTAGAGCTGGACTTGGTAAGCAACCCACCCAAGAACCTTAGCGACTTTACTTGGAGGGTCGTTTAAGGAAATTACCAGAATGGATTCCCAAACTCAAAAAGCTCAAGAGGCTGCGCTCGATTTGGTCAGGACTGACAGATGATCCTATATTTGCTCTCAGAAACTTGAACGAACTATTGGAGCTACGACTTAGAAGGGCTTACCACGGCGAGGAACTGCATTTCAAGAAAGGGTGGCTGAAAAACCTCAAGATTTTACGGCTTAGGTATCTTGAGCACTTGAAAACGTTGAAAATAGATGATAAGGCACTGCCACAACTTGAGACTTTATACCTCGGACCTTGCTCTCAGATGGCGGAGGTGCCCGAAGATCTGCAGAATCTCAAGAAATTGCAGACTCTTCGTTTCTGTGACATGCCTGAAGCATTCACAATGAGCATGCAGGAAGGACATTCTAAGTATTCCATCATCAAAGACATACCCCATATGTTTTTCCGTAGCAGCGAGCTTGGAGTCAACGGATATATCAACAACTCTCGTCATCTTGCCAATATCATGAAGAACAGATACGGTAAGTGTGTGTGTGAACATGCATATATAATTAGCTAACATTCTTTTTCCCTACCAATAGGATCATTGATCCGTGGTGCTATAAAGAGAGCAATTAATTAACAATGGCCTTTCAAATGTTGTTGATATAAGGTAATGAAAATCCCGGGGTGAGCAACATGATCAGCAACAATTTGGTTTCGAAAGGGAAGTTGCTATTCTCAAATGACATAAATGGAATAGATGACGAGTGGTTTTGGGTTACAGCACTGTTGATGGCTGTTTTGGCTCTCCTCCTAGCTTTCGCATCCAATTATCTGGAACAACATTCTTTTCAGCTTTTCTGATCGGGGAAAACTTTGCAAGCTTCACTCGTCACTGTTCTCATATGAACTCCTTTATCATTTTTCTTTGCTATAGTTGGTCTGGGCTGTGTTTGTGTAAGTCTATGTATCATATTATTATTCTGTGTGGTGCGATTTCTAGTGGAATAAGTAGTATTATATTGCTAAGAAGCAAGCAAACACATCATCATTGTTATATATAAAGTTACGTACGTTGTTTGATAATGTTTTTTAAGTTTGATTGGGCTGCTGTAGATGTTGTTCAACTCTGCTATAAGGATCATTATTGCGTGTGGTGTGATTTCTAATAGAATAAGCATTGCTGGGAAGCAAGCAGCTTTTATCTTACAAATTTTGTATACATGTCCATCCACTTTTCGTTCTAATATAGTAGTACGGGATATGTTTTTTATGATTAACGGCTTTTCTGCTTACATCATTATTTTGTGCCTGGTAAATTAAGGGTGCGGAAATGAAATCAATATATCAATAATTTTAATGTATAATATAAAATTTATGGGAAGTGATGGAAACATGAACCTGTAATACGTACAAAGAAGTCACACGGGGCCCAAAGAAGTTTTTTGTTGGTAAGATGCGGGGCCCATCATTTAGTTGATGGATAGAGTTTTTTTTTTATTTGAAAAATAGTAAAAAAAATTAAAAATTGTATAAATTTTTCCTCATAAAATATCAAAATTTCACTGATTGTAGGTAAGAAACAAGGAAAAAAATATTTGGCAAAAACAAAAAATGAAAAATTAAGGGGCGGCTGGCATTCCAAATACCACCCACCGACTCCTGACGTTTGCCCGTGCATTTCCAATGTGCAGCTTCTCTCGCTTGTCTCACCTTCTCTTTCACCAAATTATTACTTCTCACTGCTATATCTATTATGAGTTCCAAATTCCAACTCATCTTTGATCTGCTCATTTTGCTTCGCCTCACCTTTCAGTAGCGCTGCTTCCTTACTCAGTAAAGGGATCAACCTGGCAACCACAATGTTCACTGCAGTTTCTGCCATGAGAATGCCAGTTCAAAGTTCTTTTTTTTGGCCAGATCAGTTTATTATATCTTACGTTTAGTTCAAAGATTATGTTTATGTTCCCCAAAAGCAAAAGCAATGCATCAATATGATTATTCTTGTTTATGTTCAACCCAAATAAAAAGAAAGTGTCAATTCAAAACTTGTGTGGATCCCTAGCTTGGCCGTTGACCCAGGGAAAGGATCATCAGCTCCAACGGACAGCTTGTTATTTTAATTTGAAACGGCTTTGAAATATGCTTCGGTTATAGTTATAAATAATTTGTCATATTATAAATTTTATATTTTATATTGATACCAACATATATTAGCGTTGGAATATTTGTTTCTAGTTTTATTTCACCACATATCTTAACTCTTTTGTATTCGAACAATAATTATTAATTAGGTAGCTGATAATTTTTGTCCTTCCTTCTCATTCCCTCTCAGTCCTTCGTATCATTTTAATTGTGCCGTCCCATAAAAATGTATTTTTATCTCTCTTCATCTAATAAAAAATGTAAAAGATGGGCCATAAATATTTTTTACCTTGCATTTCACTCATAAACAATGCATATGTATCCCCTGCTCAGCTTAAGAATCAAAACATGTCAAAACATCATATTGTAGCAATACAAACTGAAATATTTATAGTTATAAATTATATGTACCCAAAAGTGAGAAACTTAATTATAAATAGAAAAGACTTTGGTTTCATCATACAATTAATTTAAGCGTCCCCTTGAATCAATTTCGCAACTCTCTCAAGGAGGCTAATACTTGCAATCTTTGACAAACAAACTCTCAGAGGCCAACCCGCCGGTGCCGGAGCCAGAGTATTTGCCGAGAGTTGCATCGCAGTTGGCCTTGTACCTTGCCAGGAAAGCCGCCTGAGCTTTGGCAACATGCTCCTTCTTCCCACCCCACGTCTTGAGGGTGCTCTGCTGCAATGCTCGCCCAAAGGAGAAAGACAGAGTCCATGGCTTCAGCACTTCCAGCTTGTTCATTGCATCCAAGTTCAGTGTTGCCTCTTCTTCGCTTTATCCACCAGGCAAGAACACAATCCCTGGTACTGCAGCCGGCACGGTTCTGCGCAGTGCCCTGACTGTGTACTCAGCAACCGCCTCAGGTGGTACCTGTGGGACACGGCAAATTTTGAAAGTTAAAGTACTTATTGTGAGAATATTGAATGGGATGTCCCCTTGTGAAGCTCAGTTTCAGATGTCTTCATTTGTTTGATATCAATGACACTTGAATCGAATCCAGTAAATTCTCTCCTCGAGAGAAATTATATAAACTGATGTGGAGAATTTTTCCCCCCATAACGTGAGGTAGAGATTGGTTCTAACTGGAATTTTCTGAATCCTTTTTTTTTGGGGGGGGGGGGTATAAAGGAAACAAAAGAAGGAATTTTCTGAATCCTTAATGCTGAAGAAAAATCAGAGGGAAATGTGTTGAATCTAATTCCAAGCAGGGAGGATCTTTTCTTTTCCAAATTCATTTCTTCCGATTCAGGATTTTGACTAACCAAATTTATAATTTTTCAGTTTTGTTTTGGACTTTTGGCGTCTACAAGGATGCGTATTACTTTTATTTATTTTTTTTAAAATTGGTCTAATCAATTGACAGTTGTTGGGTGAAAATAAAATTTTAAAAGTACAAGGGAGATCTACGTTGATGTAAATTGGAAAGGAGGTTCTTATATGTTTTAAAAATGAAAAAATTATTTATTTGAGGAAAAATGACAATAAAATACTTTCTGAATTTTAAAATGACAAATAAGACATCCGAATAAACAAAATGACAAATAAGACATCAGGTACCAATTTGAAATTTTGATTTTTGGCCTCAAAATATGTTGTAAAATCCATCGACAAAGTAGTAACTTTCACTATGAAAGTTGTAAATCTCACTATATGTTTTGTAAAATTCAACATGGAATTGTATTGTTTTTTACAGAAAAGTTGCCCAACCCCTCAAAACAGGTTGCAAAACCCATTGACCAAGTAGTAGATCTCACTATGAAAGTTATAAATCCCATTATGTGTTTGTAAAATTTGGTTTTTTTTTTATAGAAAACTTGCCCATCCTTTCAAAACAGGCTGCAAAACCCATTGACGAAGTAGTAACTCTCACTATGACAGATGTAAATCCCACTATATATTTTGTAAAATTCAAAATCAAAATTCCAGAGTGGTACCTGATGCTTTCTTTGTCATTTTGTTTATTTGGATGCCTTATTTATCATTTTGAAATTCAGACGGTATTTTATTGTCATTTTCTCTTTATTTAAAAGGGTAGCACTAATTAACAACACAAGATTATAAGTGAAATCAAATTCATAACTTCTCATTTATAAGAAGAGTTCTTATGTTGTTAAGTTATAAAGTCATTGACAAAAGAAAAAATTTCTATGATTACGATAAAATAGAGAGTACATATGAGTAAATTTTACTAAAAAGTATTTGAGTGATGTATTCTAACTACTCTTGTATTTTACTTTAATTAAACAGATGTTCCTTCTATTTTAAAATATACAATTAAATCTAAATTGTTAACTTTGTTAAAAATATTTTCAATTTTTTTAAAATATATTTTTAATTAACATATGAAAGAAAAAGAAAAATCTGATGGCCGTATGGAGCAATGATGGAGAAGACATTGGAGAATCATGAAAGCAGAAAGGGTTAATATAAATTTCGGTCCCTCAAATTTGGACCCATTTTAGTATTAGTCACTGAAATTTAAAACCCATGTTATTGGTCCCTCAAATTATATCCGTTTCTAGCCGTTGGTCTCTGGTAGCTTTAGGCCATCAAATTCTTCTGAGTTGGCACTAACACCGTTAACTATTTATATAGAACATTAAACTCTCAAAATTATATATACACATATATATATATAATCAACCAACCTAAGAAAACTGAAAGAGATGGCAGATTTCCAGGTGAAACTAGAAGATGATGAAGGAGAAGCAGCATCGAAGGAAAAAGCTGCAAAGAAAACAGCAAGAAAGTCTATATGGGATTGTGGGAGTCCTTTGTATGATTCGTACAAACTGGTTTTTGTGAATCAAAGACACAAGTCCCACAAATCACTATTCTCAAGGTCCGAGAAATTAGACCTTGAGTTCATTTTACTTCCTCCCTCTTCACTACTTTCACAACTCTCACTTCTCTCTTCCTCCCCATCGCTATTTAACTTGTAGAGCAAAATAATAATTTAAAACAGAACAAATGAACCAGAACAACACAACACACATAAAACAGAGCATATTTTGTCAACAAAGCAAAAAACCCATCCATACTGGAAGTTCAAAATAACGGGTTAATGCTCCAAAATACAACTAAACGAAATAAAAATTCATTTAATCATCATATCAACGTCTTGTCATTCAAGAAATGAGAACATAGCATACTTAAATACACACCACGCAAGAAAAGCAATATCGACCGACTTAATGAGTAAAGATCAAATGCACCACACCTCTCAAATATACAGTTATCAAACAAAAAATTAACAAAAACAAACATGCAGAGCTCGTCGAAAATCAACCTTTGTTTTCTCATACTGCATGAGTTACTACCAGAATGCATTAACATATGGGATAGATGCTCACCTTTCAACCAGCAAAACTCACCAAAAATATTGTTACCATTTTTTCCCTTGATGGCTGTTGGTAAATCATGTTCCTCTGGTGACGGACGCATCACAGTTCTCTGACAAGTGTGGTTCCACTTCACTCTTGACCTAACCGCTTTGCCCTTTCTTTTCTCATGTTGTTCGCCTGTCATGTCCATTTGTTTTCTTTTTAACTCAGCCTTTTTTTTTTCCTATTATTTTTATGTACATGTCAACAAGGCAAATTATCATACTATTGTCCAGCTCATTCTCTCAAGTAAGATGCCACATCATAAGTTAATGGAGTTAGTGCCAACTTAGATGAATTAGACGGTCTAAAGCTAGGGACCAACGGCAAGAAACGAATATAATTTGAAGGACCAATACCATGAGTTTTAAATTTGAGGGACCAATACCAAAATGAGTCTAAATTTGAGAGACCAAAATTTATATTAAATCAAGCAAAAAAGTACAAAACTCATGAACAAATCTTAAAGCCCGTTTAGATTGACGGAAGAAAAAGGTGGGCTTTTGAAAACCTAAGACTGAATAATCGTAATCGTAATCTAATAGTTTTTCCACTCAAATGCCACTATAATCGTAAGTCAAAGCTACATTTGTCTTGTTTTGTGATGAAGGATGCCATGTTCGTCCCTTGTCGCACACTATAACTATGGAATCAGCCATTTGATCTCGATGAGCGAAACTGAAATAGCAGTACCCACTAGAAATATGAAGGGGCAAAAGACAAAATCGATCATTCGAAAATTAATTTCTGCACATAATTTGTTTTGATCCTATTCTATTTTTATTTTTATTCCAAAAAATTTCACCATTGCAGGGTGATACAAGTTTTAATAAATGTGATGAAAAACTAAGTTATAAACTTTATAATATGATAAAAATTAATAAATTTTATAACATAAATTTTGAAAAACTATGTATTAGAATTATTATCGTTTGGTTGCATAAAGGTATTTTCCTGGTAATTATAAATGTAAAAGAGGAATGTTTGGGTTAAAACAAAAATTCAGCATCCAACCCAAAAAAAAAAAATAGCAGTCAAATTTAATTATCAATGAAATCTTAAATGGATAAAGAATCTATTTTATTTATAAATCATGTCAAACTTCTTTTGCGTGATGATCAACAAGCATCTGCCAGATCCCTTCGCTCTCCGTGAGCGGTGGTCCGTCTCTTTTTATCACCATAGTGGGATTTGCGTGATGGTGATCACCAAGCATCTGCCGGCTCTTAGACCTTTCGCTCTCCGTGAACGGCCCGCCTCTTTTGGTCGCCATATCTTTCTCGCCATGTAAACTAGCTGGAGGAGGCCTGAACGTTGGAGTAAAGACCGGCGTCGATCCGCTTGCCTCAAGTCAGCGCACATCCATTATTTATACAGCAAGCATCGAGAGGATGTTAGCATCCATTCGCCACTCATTTGCTTTGGTCAACTAAATTTTTAAATTTATACTCCTCTGGTCCTTAGAACTCAATTATTGAGTTGGTTTTTATCCTAAATATAAGATCTATTTCTCATATTTATCAGTTTTCTCTAAATTATCCTTATAGATGCTCCCTCAACCATAATCAAGTAGAAGAGAAAAATGGGGTATTAAAAAAGATGATCATGATATTTTAGGAAAAGCGTGTCACTTTTGTTATAATTAACTAACTTACCTAACTTCTTTAATCTAATCAAACTAATTAAATGGGTCTTATATTAAGGATCGGAGGAGTAATCTTTTATTATAAGCCACAAGCCACAACAAGCATCTTACTCTAATTCTGTCGCCAACAACCTTATATTACAAAGTGACTTGTGTAAAATAAACAAATACTAAATTCTTAAATTTATAATCATTTATTATAAGCTACAAGCCACAAGAAGCATCTTACTCTAATTCTGTCGCCGACAACCTTATATTACAAAGTGACTTCTGTAAAATATACAAATAGATAAAGTCGCTCTCTAATTCATAAAACATATAAACATTACTTATCCACCTTCATCACTAAGAAACATGTAAGCAATAACAGAATTGATTAATCATGAGGATGTCAAACAAAGGACTTACCAGGCGGCCAGCGGATCGTTCAAATTTGTTCAAGTTTCCGACGATAAAAGCCCTTTGAAAAGGAAGTCACGATGGTTATTTCCTTGATTTTGTCGTAGCTTCTTTCTTCCTTCGACTTGAGATCAGTTATCATTTGATCAGACATATCAACGAGGTAAAGCAGTTTGAGGTTCTCCAAATTCTGAATGCCTGTGGGCATCTCCGCCAACTGGGGACAGCTAACCAATTGCAGAGTTTCAAGGATGGGCAACGCTGCTTTGTCTATTCTCAAAGTCTTCAAGTCTTGCATCTCCAGCACATCCAAACTCTTCAGCTTTCTAAACCATCCGTCTTTGAAATGAAGCTCTTCACCTTCGAACGATTTCCAAAGCTGAAGTTCCAACAATTCCGGCAAGTCCTTCAGAACTGAGAGAGGATCTTCATTTAGTCCTGACCATTCCAATCTTAACCTCACAAGATTCTTGAGTTTAACAATCCATGTTGGAAGTTTCTCCATGCGAACGCTTAGGTAGAGGCGCTGCAAATTCAAAGGAGGATCATTTATTGATTCCAAATCAATAACTTCATGTTCTTGTATTGCTACAATACATAGTGCACAGAGATGGCTCATGCTCTCTATGGAGCCACATAATAGCTGCCCTTGGCGTGTTTGAAGCCCTTTGATGGACAAATTTCTCATGAGCTTCAAACTCTTCAATTCACAGATTAAAGCATCTCCATCTGTTACATCAATCATCGCCAGCTTCTCAAGAGCCTTTAAACACCCAATCCCTTCCTTTAGACTCACTCCATGTAAACTAGCAATAGTATGGCTCTGCTGAGGAAAATAATATGCTAGTAGACGACGCAGCTTGACAAGCTTGTTAATCTCTTCAGGCAATTCACCAACTAGACTGTGTTTCAAGTCCAGTGACTCTAGATTTTGAAGCTTCCCAATGAACTTGGGAATGGACTTGATTTTTGTACCTCTAAGGCTCAGATATTTCAAATGCACTAAGTTCCTAACTGCTCTAGGAAGATCATCAATGGGTGCATTCTCCAAATCTAATATTATTAACAACTTGAAACCTGACAGGAATGACTCAATCACAGGCTTAGGTAACTGTTTAAACACAAAATTGGACCGCACTCTTTCATAATTTGTTGTGGCTTCCAAAGCATCCATAGCGTCCATTTGGATTGACAGGCGCCTGGTCCATCGATGCAAGCCAAAAACCTCACTATTCTTCACTTGACAAAAGTTGATCTCCTCACAAGTTTTAAGAATGAAGCCATGCATCAAATCATGGACTCGACATCTTCGAACCTTGCTATAAGGATACTCTGTCGATATCTTAACCAAGTTCCTTCGTATCAGTTCGCTCAAGTATTCTTCACCTGCTTCCTCAAGTGTTGTGTGATCTTCATTTTCATTTTTCTTTACAAAACCCTCAGCTATCCACAAATTAACGAGTCTCGAGCAGCTAATGGAGTAGCCTTCAGGGAAGATGCCAAAATACAAGAGGCATAACTTGAGGTGGTAATCGAGATCCTTATAACTCTCTGATAAAACCTGATAATAACCTTTCAAATGGGGATCACTTGCCAATTTTGATCGAAGACTTTTAAGAACACTCTCCCATTCATAAGTAGCTTTCTTTTTAGTTGATAAGAGACCAGCTATAGCCACAATTGCAAGTGGCACTCTATCACACTTGTTGACAAAGTCTCGAGATATTTCTAACAAATTTTCAGGACACCCTTTTAAATCATCAAACTGAAAGACCTTTAGATGGAAGAGCTTCAAAGCATCTTCTTCAGGTAGCGGATCCAGCTTGTGAATGTGGACTGGAGCATAACTTCTACAAAAATCTGCAACACCCTCGTCCCTTGTAGAAATCATTATCCGGCTGCTTTTGTTGTTATCTGGTAACGCGAATTCAACACTTTTCCAAAATTCTTTGTCTCTTATATCATCCAAAACAATCATATACCTTTTATCCTGCAAGTATTCTCTAAGTTTACTTGTCAATGCACAACCGTCCATGATTTCATTAATGGCCTGGGCAGCATTTTCGTTGCCACCATCATACTCATAAAAGCTTTGTATCATAGATTTTAACAGCTTTTCTCCACTGAGTGAGCCCGAGACACTGATCCAAGCATAACAATCAAAACATCTTTCCTCTCTCTTTTGCTCGTATAAATTGCTCGCAATAGTTGTTTTACCTTGAGGGGAAAATATTAGAAAAAAGGAGCAAGAGATAAGTAAAGGAAATTTGGGTTTCGGTGTGTATTTTTTCATAGATGATATACGCATATACATTGATTAAATTATTGTGCCATAGTGGCTCAGATATCTCCCAGTTGACTCTGCAATTAAAAGTTATATAACCCGGGGGGGGGGGGTTGGGGGGGCAGGTGGATGTTTCATGGGGCATAAATAAACATAAAAGGAATGATGACAAAATGTGAAACAAGGTGTGAGGAACATAGCTTAATCGGCCGGCCAAGAGTACGCTGCAAGTTCCTCTTATATAGTTCCCTAAACCTTCAACATAAGATTGCACATTTTCTATTTAGCATTTACTGAAAAAATAATTTACAATGGTTCTTCTGAATTTTCTAATTTGCTTATGCTTTATTTATAACTAATCTTTAGGTTCATAAGGAGGTTACCAAAATACTATAGCTAGGTTTCTAAAATAAATAGGGTATAGGTAGTTAAAACAAAACTTAAAAGAGATTAAAGGTTCCTCCTCATAAATGAGATTAAAATATTTTTTGAATAACAACAAATATCGTAAAGTAGTTTTTGGTGCAATTTTACATTTAAAGTATTTTTTCAGTAGCAACAAGCACCTTAAATTTAATATATTGAATGCTACTAAAAAAATATTTTAAAGTGTTAGATGTATAAAAAATTATTTTAGAATATTATGCGCATAAAAAGTTAGCTTAGAATACTGAGTACTACTAACAAATACGTGGCTGATGCCTCTTAGGTCCCGTTTGGTACGAAGCATTGAAAATGAGGTATTGGAATTGTAATTGCAACTGAAAAAAATCATTAAAATAGTACTTAGTATGAGTAATTGTTTGTTATATGGGATTAAGCAAACCTATAAAGGTGGGATTGGGGAATACCACTTCCCCCATGATATTCCCCAATCCCACATATATGGTTTTGATTAATCCCATATATCAAACAATCTCTTACACTAAACACTTTCTTAATAGATTTTCTCAATTGTAATCTCAATCCCAATCCCTCATTTCCAGTACTTCCTACCAAACGCAACCTTAAGGTTCATATCTTGGTCTATATATTAGGTTTTCGTTTGATCATGACTTATAGAAGTTGATCTACCCGCCAGTAGGACCACTTTTAACCACTGTTTTTTCTTGCGTTTCTTGACACACCCAGGTTATGTATGACTACTTAGTTTTTTTTTTTTTTTTGGTCAATAATTCATTGCAAATTAAAGTAGTGAATTGCAACCGCGAAAATATCACGGGCCGGGAAGGAGCCTCTAATGCCCAACTCTCAAATGCCTATTATAATGCCTTAATTAGAGGTGGTAATACGGACCAATCCGCGGGTTGCTGGTTGGCTTGTGACGGGTTCAATTCATATGGGTCAAGTTGAAAAGTGTCGTTTGAAGATGAGTTGGCTTTTAGCCAATCCTAACCCGCCAATATGGATTGGCCCGTTAACCCGCCAATAATTATTTTTTTAAAATTTTTTTTAATCTTTTAATTTTTTTCTTATTCAATATTTTAAAAAAATATAATGAGATTTTTATTTTTTTGTTTGCAATATTTGATTGGAAGCACCAAATAAATTATATAAGTATTTTTTTAAAATTGTTTAGATATAATATTATATACAATAATATAATTATAAAAAAATTTTAAAATTTTAAAAATAAAAAAAATAAATGCAGGTTAGCCCGTGGGTTAGCGAGCTAACCCGTTACGGGTTGCGGGCCTGTGCGGGTTAGAAAAATTCGTCTACTGACGGGTTGGTTTTTAACCAACCCTAACTTGTTATTTTTAACGGGTTAACACGGGTTCAACCCGTATTACCAGCTCTAGCCTTAATCTCTCAAATATTTTTCTCTCGTTTCTATTAATTATTAGATTCTACCTAAAACATCACATTCAAATCAATAGACAATGTGTTTAAAAACCTTAAAACCAGTAATGGCAATGAGAGAGTGTAATATGTACATAGTATATACACGTACCTAGTCCGCCTTCGCCCACCACAGAGATTACGGTGCGCCTAGAATCTTTATCTGATAGCCAATGGCTGAGAAGTTTCCTAGTGTGGTCAAAGCCGACAAGATGAGAATCATCCATGAAACGAGCAGCCAATCGGAGGTAACGCCTTGATGATGAGGAGTTCTCTGCAACACGATTGCTGGGTTGTGGAAGTGAAGAATAAAACCCGAAAAACTGTCTTTTTTCATTCAGTTTCGCCATGGATTCTCTAATGTCCATAATCTCACTTGCTATCTCATGACGAGGTATTATACTCCTTAGCAAGTGACAGATTCTACGAGCTACACCCACCAGTCCCCGCCGCCGTTCTTGCCGGCGCATTTCCACCTTAAACAAGTATTCGTCCATCACATCTTGCATACGATATGCAACTTCTCTCATTTGTCTCACCCACTCTTTCACCAAGTAATTGCTCGTCTCTGCTATATCTGCTTTGTGATCTGCATCTTTTATGTAAGCTCTGATCAGTTCCAACTCATCTTTGATCTGCTCAATTTGCTTCTCCACACCTTTCAGTAGCCCTGCTTCCTTTCTCGTTAAAGCTATCAACTTGTCGATCAGAAGGTTCACCGCCGTTTCTGCCATTACAAGAGTCTTGCAAAACTCAATGGGATGTGAATTGAAAGAGGAAAGGAGGCAAACTGATCAGGTTGTTGTTAACGGGAAATGCCAATTCGAAGTTTGATTATTAGTCGATTATTATTGCCTGGCCATTTAGGAAAGCATCAACTGATCAACTTTAGTTATTTAATTACGACGCTGATTGAGCGCAAAGGGAAAGCATCAGTTTATTAATTATCTTATGATTACTTAGTTCAAAGATAAGTTTATGTTCCCCAAAAGCAAAAGCATTGTTGCATCAATTATTCTTGTGTTCAGCCCAAAAGAGAGCATCAATTCAAAACTTGTGAGTATGCTTGGCCATTTATCCCAGAAAAGGATAATATATAATAAAAGAAATTCATACATCAGTTGACGGTACTGAAAAATATTTTGAGATAATATCACACAGTCTTATAATATTGTGGATTTTGTATTCATGACAATAATTACGTAGTTGAGAATTTCTTTCTTCCTTCACATTTGTTCTCAGTCCTTCGTAACATTTTAATTGTGCCGTCCCATAAAAATGTATTTCTATTGTATCTCCGCAACATGCGGTTCAATCTCCATCTATCTAATAAAAATATTAAAAGCTGTACGCCCCTATCCATCGGCCCCCTTTTTTCTTTGAAACCAGAATGGTAAGAGTGAACTACTTCAATGGCGCTAGTAAAAGATGCGCCATAAATTTTTTTTACCTTACATTTCACTCATAAATAATATATGTATCCCCCACTCAGCTTAAGGATAAAAACATATGTCCAACCATGATATTGTAGCAATACAAACTGCAATTTTAATAATTATAAATTATATGTACCCAAAAGTGAGAAAGTTAATTAGAAATAAAAAAGACTTTGGTTCCATCATGCAATTAATTTAAGCGTCCCCTTCTGAAATCAATTTCCCAACTCCTTCGAGGAGGCTAATACTTGTAATCTTTGACAAACAAACTCTCCGAGGCCAACCCGCCGGCGCCGGCGCCAGAGTACTTGCCGATAGTTGCATCAGAGTTGGCCTTGCACCTTGCCAGGAAAGCCGCCTGAGCTCTGGCAACATGCTCCTTCTTCCCACCCCATGTCTTGAGCGTGCTCTGCTGCAATGCTCGCCCAAAGGAGAAAGACAGAGTCCATGGCTTCAGCACTTGCAGCTTGTTCATTGCATTCAGGTTCAGTGTTGCCTCTTCTTCGCTTTGTCCACCAGACAAGAACAAAATCCCTGGTACTGCAGCCGGCACGGTTCTGCGCAGTGCCCTGACCGTGTGCTCAGCAACCACCTCAGGCGGTACCTGTAGGACAAGGCAAAGTTTGAAAGTTGAAGTACTTATTGTGAGAATATTGAATTGGATGTCCCTTTGTGAAGCTCAGTTTCAGATGTCTTCATTTCTTTGATATCAATGATACTTGAATTGAAACCGGTAGATTTTCTCCTTAAGACAAGTTATTATATAGATCCAAGATGAAGTACTTGATGTTCAAACATTAACTACTTCTATCCAATATGAAACCACTAAATTGTCTCCTGTTCACAGCAGGCAAAAGTATCACTATTATTATATATGCAATATATATTTTTAATATTTTCTAAATCAACTCTAATCAAGGACCATTCTTATGCTGCAATCCAAGAAGCACCAGGAATCATAGCATGATAGTGTCCAAATACAACTCAAATGTGTCATGCCCTATCGATTATTAAACACAAAGCAACAGAAATTTTCAAGAATTTGCGGCTTGGTGCTTCAAAGAGAACACTTACCTTAAAGAATGGCAATAATTACGTAAAGTTTCATAATTTTAGAAAGTGGTGAAGTCTGGTTTAAAAAAAAAAAATTTAACAACAGGTTTTTAAATAAAAACAGAGATAAAAAGATATTCTTTCTGTAAGAACTAAGGCGAACATGCACTGGACTGAAACTGACGAGAAACCCATGCAAGCAACTAAAAGACAAAATTTGGGTGGTACCTTTGGGCTGTCAGAGCCAGGAGTGACCATGTTAGGCTTGAGAAGAGTTCCTTCAAGAAGAACATGGTGATCATTGAGCGCCTTGTAAACAGCAGCAAGCACAGTTTCAGTAGCAGCAGCACACTTGGCAATGTCATGTGGGCCATCAGTCAGAATCTCAGGCTCCACGATGGGCACCAACCCATTCTCCTGGCAAATGATAGCGTAGCGAGCCAATCCCTGCGCATTCTGCTGGATCGACAACTCCGACGGCTCGGTCGGTCCGATTTTCAACACGGCGCGCCACTTGGCGAATCGTGCACCGGCCTTGTAGTATTGCGCGCACCGAGATCCAAGCGAATCGAAGCCCTGCGTGGTGGTTTCACCATTGGTGCCGGCTAATTCGACAATGCCTTTGTCGACCTTGATGCCGGGAACAACGCCGTTTTCTTGGAGGACTTCGACGAAGGGCTTACCGGAGGCAGTTTTCTGGTAGAGGGTTTCTTCGAAGAGGATGACGCCGGAGAGGAATTGGAGAGCGTTTGGAGCGGTGAAAAGGAGCTCGCGCAGGGCTTGGCGGTTGGACTCAATGTTCTCGACGTTAATGCTAGCCAGACGCTTGCCCATGGTGCCGGTGCTCTCGTCGGCGGCGAGAATGCCCTTGCCGGGAGTCGCTATGTACTTGGCGGTCTTGATGAGCTCATCTAAACGAAAATCAAAATCATTACTCCTCTATGCAATGGCCCTAAGAAGCTATATAGACTTGTTAGAAGCATTGGCACCATTTTCTGTACAAAGAACAAGAACAGAAGAGAAGAGATGGTTTACCTGCATACTTGCCAACAAACGCAGACATGGTTCAAAGCTGTACGAGAGCGGGAAACACACAGATAAGAAGACGACACTACAAAAAACCGAGCTCACCCAATCCAAAGCTTTATAGAACCATGACTATAAGGAATATTCCAAAGAATATATACAACCCATGCAAAACCAACACGTGTCCTGGTCTTTGCCTCCCGAAGGTTATCCCCTTTGGATAGACCAACCCCTGATCCCTCCTGCTGCCACGTGGCAGCTCATCCTTTTTAATAGTATTATGCTCACCTCTCAGATCACAGCTCAATTTCCTTTTCCTTTTATTCAGAGATCCAAATTTTTTGTGGAAAGCTTCTCTCCCGTCAGGCCGTCATCCTCATCCTGTTTGTTTTCTTCAGATATCAAACTAGACATCACCCAGAAGGCCAGAAGGCTCCTTTCTGGATTATCTGCATATCTCTGTCTCAGCCACAGTATTCATCCTTTCTTTCTTTTGTCTTGTTTTGGAATCAATTACCTACCTCAAAAACACATGACCATGCAAATTGCCTTTTGGGTATTCAAGAAGCAATCTTAAGTTTTTAACTCGGAGTAGCTATAAAACAAATCTCAATAACATTAGAGTCACTCTTGTAAAGGGGCCACCAAACTCACCTGTGCCAAGTACAACATACATGAAAATCTTCATCCCAACCAAAATACAATCTTGGAGGGCACGATATTTATTCTTGGAAATTTCTTGCAGGCCACATGCACACCTTGAGGTGTCTGGCTACATTCAAGCAAACTGCATTTAGGGCCACCAGAGGCAAGAGATATTTTAGAAAACAACAAAATATAGTGAGAGAAATAGATAGATGAATTACTACCCAGTCACTTACTGACATGAGATTGAGGTATATGATGTTAGACTCCAGGACAACCCTTTCTGATACCTCAAGAAGAAAGTATTTAAAAGTTCATGCGAATGAAAAAAGAACAAATAAAATATCATCAAGAGCTCTAAAAATAAGTTGCAGTGAATCCGTAAGTTACAGTAAGGAAAATTTAAACTGATAGAAAGCAGTAACCTAAAGCCTAAAGTGAAAAGCATGCATTTGCTGCAATCAATATCATCAAAAGCAAAGCATATATCTCAAGTACCATAAGTTACACGGCTTTGGTTCCTATACTGTGAAGAAAAATTTCCCGGAGATGATTAAAGGGATACATCAAAGAATTGCCCATAGATCACGCGGCTTGATGGTGAAAGTGATTTGCCTTCACCTCGCACATCGCATGTTCAAGTACACTGTTTCACTCGCGCACACAGAGTATATGAAAGAGCTATCTGACTGGACACAGAAAATCACTCTTTAGACATGCTAGATTAAACAAAATCTTTATGCTACATACAAAGAACCAAGAACCAAATAAAATTTGCTGCAGCATGATGAATTGTCCACTTTTCAGCAGCCTCTTCCACCTTTGCACAATCTATGCTCAACATTTAAGATGTTAAGGTCAACTTCGCTCCTATGATCCTTGAATACTTCATTTTTAAACGTACTGCTTGATTTGTCATCAGTATGCCTTTGTTAGAATTTGACATGAAGCAACAAAATAATACTTCAGAGCTAATATGGATTATGGAACATAAAAAGACAACGTACGTAGATCCATAATTTTAGCTGGTAGCTGATACAAAGTTGTGCATATGGCAAGTTTAGATTGGACCTAGAGAAGGATTGCCGTAAGATAACATAATAGTTTTCGTCCTTTCTTGCCTCATTTCTCTTCTTTGAATTTAATACATTGATTTCTTCTTTTCAGTGAGAACGATAAGCAAGGAGACATTACGAAAATATAACTGCACAGAAGTCACAGAAGAAGGACAAGTAATAATATCACGAATCACAAACTGAAGCCCTTGACAATACCATTTTTAGACAAACTAAATTGAACTTAAAAGATTATGTTCATCAAAAGAACGCTGGTGTTACATTTTTTAACCTGTCCTGCACAATGATAAAATTGTCATCTTGTAAAAAAAATTTTGTTGTTAAAACAAAAGCTCAATCTCAATTGGCATTCTCAAAATCATATTGGTTTTCCACTCGGTTAAATTGGCGACATGGTTCCCATGCACTGAACGATGAAAGAGCACGTCTATCTGTCTATCTCTGAAACCATGACCTCAAATGACAAATGTTATGATATTGAAAGTTGTTAGAAAGCAATTTACCTTGTCCCGGTCACCAAACAGTAATGTATTCTACATTTCATTCTGAATTTGGGATGCTTCACAATGCTGCTAAAAAGCATTGTTGCTAAAAAGCATCTCAGTACAAAGCTAACTAATCATCAATTAATGTCACTAGTTAGTGTTCCAAGCATACAGAAAATGGCAACAACCTTCAGAAGTTGGACTATCTTCAGGACAACAATCTCTATCACCACTATCAGAATCATCCTCTGCAGATTCCAAAGACCCTGGCTTGAAGATGAACAAGCCATGCCCTGAACCATTGAACAACCAATCATGCACGTCCCACAATATATGCACCGGCAAGTTGTTCACGATCACCGTCTCGTTCCCTCTGAACCTCCAATTTAGGTTCATGATCCTCGTGGCGACGATTCCATCTATGCTCACCCACATCTCGGGATCTTCAGGCCCAGAAAGCGATGTCTCTATCACAATGTCATGCTCTGTTTTGCCTTCTTCAATCATCGCTTTCGTGCAGAACATCTTCTTCCCATACACGATCTCCTTCTTGTACAATAGAACAGCCTCTTCTGAGCATGGTCTTGACCTGGTTCTTTCATAGGCTTCTTTCTCTAAGTCTCCTAGGAACAAAAGCGTCTCCTTTCTGTGCACCAAGATAACGTAGTAATCTGAACGAGGTCGTGGGTATGAGGTGAATTTCGCGTGCCGGAAATCCCAGAATATGTCCACTCGATTCCCTTGTATTTCCAAGGTTTTCAGGCCCTTTTTCCCCCAACTTTGCTTGAATATTGAGTCAATCTTGCAATTGTACGCGTTTTGTTGTGATGAGTTTTCAACACTTATGCAGAGAGAATGGTCGGCGAGGTCCTTGCTCCATGTCACCATCACACTTTGACATGTCTGAGGTAGTCTTGTCTTATACACAAACGTAATAGAATGCTGTTCTTTAGCAGGTAAAGGCACAGCTTCTGCAAAATTCCTAGCCATTGACTACACTATTTGGTTAACCTTGAACTGAGCCTTCCTGCAAATATATGACTATAGGATTTACATTTGAATTTGAATTTGATGGTGTTCATTAAAAAAAGAGACCGAATACACGAACCCCAATATGCTACCTTGAACAAAATGACGATTAACCATCTTTAGTTTGCTAAACCTGGGAAGCTGTATGATTCCAACCATCTTGTTGGCAAGGTAAACGTATATACGCTTTGATGAACAAGGCAACAAGCTTCTGAATTTTGCTGTTCTTGAAGACTTACACAACAATGGAATATGGCCCCAAATGTGGTTCTTAATCAGATGTTGAATGGACAGCCATGTGAGAAAAGTTAGAAAGGGATCACAATAATCACATACCCTGAGAAAGGAGCTAGAAATGAAAGATTACCCGGAAATGTTTGTTTAATGAGGCGTTGAGAGGGGAGAGTTGAAATTCAGTCACGTATAGCCTATTAATAGATTAGATTACAATTTGAAAAATGAAAATATGTGGTTTTTGTGGTTAAGTGGAGCAATGTCAGAGCAAGATCCTGCTTTTTTTTGCTTCCATTTATAGTAAGTGTCACGATTTGGATAAGAGAAGTTTAGACAACGACCAAAAAATAGTTGAGGGGCTGATTTTGTGATGCTTTCATAAATATTTTTCTAAACAAAGCTTTTTGCCACTGCTTATTATCACAACCAAATGGCATACGTATGTGTCTATTTAAAAGATTATACATAAAATAATTGATTGCTGTTGATTTTGAAGCATTTATAATTGTAATAGCCACCTGACCGTTGGTTATGAAATAATCATAATTTAACTAAGGAGGTGTTTGGATAATCTCAAAAACACTTCTCAAAAGTACTTTTCTGTAAATCAAGACAAATTCCTTCACATATTTACTTCGCATACTGTAAAAGCCCTTTTAAAACAATAGTTTTGTTTTTATCCAAACACCCCCAAAGACATTATAGCTAAATAAATAGGATGAGCCTACCTGCTTAACTCAAAATAACTAAATATAAATTTTAGTTAAAGTATCTGTTTTCGTCCTAATTATTAAACTCTATTTTTGTTTGTTTTTCTTATTAATATTTTTTTGAATTGTTTTGATTAATTTCATAACTTATTATTTTTTCTCATAAGATATGTATTTTAAAGAAAATAATATATTTTTATATCATAATAATAAATAATCAACTTACCTAATCTGTTTAATATTTATAAATTAAATAAAGAATTTTTAAGGGGGAAAATTGGAGGCACACCAAACAAAAACTATATATTTTTGGTGTGGATAATTTTTGGGTGGATTTTTTTGACCTGGGACTTTTTTGGATGGATGATAGTAGCTGCATAAATATACAAATAAATGACTGACAATAAAGTAAAACTATCATAGAAATTACGTTTTGTGCTTGGATTAAGACTTTAATTAATTGCTGACTCAGTTTGCCATCATTGCATGGTTAGCTGTACCTATGTGATGGAAATTGTCCACCCTCAATGGTTCCATAACTTTCCATAGCATATTGATGTTAATAAACACCAAAACGTCCTTTTCTATTTTAGATTGATTTGCATTTAGTTAGAATTTGGTATGATGTATTGAAAACCAATGAGTTGGCATTATTAATTAAAAAAAAGCTAAAATTATTTACTAAATTGAAATGCTGTGAATCTTTTACTTTATTAGATTTTAATCTTCTTTCCGTACGTAGAGAAAATAATATTGTCATTTTTCTCTCCATGGTTTTATTAAAGTATGCAAGAAATCATATGAACCGCTCACTGTTTATAAATTCTCACATCAACTTTGTTTTTAGCTTCATAAGGTTGTGACCTTAATTTTTTGTTTTCAACGTAAATTTTTCCTCCTATCATTTTGTATGGTCATTTATTTATGAAAGAAATAGGGGCTAACAGAACAAGAAAGGCTGCTCAAGAATTTTTTGACTCAATGACAGCTGAATACTTATTTAAGTATTTCTTAAATGTAAGGCCGTGGATTTGATTTTTCAGATGGGTGAATTTCTTATATTAGCATTGAATAAATGATGACAAAAAAGATGCTCCTCCGGTCCTTAATATAGGACTTAATTGTTGAGTTGGTTTTAGTTCTAAATATAAGATTCATTTCTTATATTTATCAGTTTTCTCTAAATTACCCCTATAGATACTTCCTCAACTAGGGGTGTTCATGGGCAGGGCTGGGCAAGGCATGCCCCCTGCCCGATGCCCAGCCCGAAAAATGAGCGGGCTGTATTTTGCAGCCCGCTGCCCTGCCCTGCCCACAGAAGCCCTAACCATTTTCGGGCTGGGCAATAACGGGCTGGGCAGGACGGGCTTCCAAGCCCAAATAGTGATACCTTAGTGAAAAAATTTTTAGTTAAAGTAAAGGTATCTTATAATAACTATAAAGAAATAAATACTTGAATAAACAATAAATTCAACAAATCAATAACTTTGCTTTGTCTTAAATTGATATATCTTTTAATATAACACTAAAGTGAGCTTGCTTTTGCATCTTTGCAAGACAACCAACAATAAAAACAAACTAAAAGATACTAAACCAAATTAAAAAAAATTAAAAAGATACTAAGAAGGAAGAATTACGCATACCACTAAATGTATCTATGGCAAATGAAAAAGGAAAGAATAATATATATTATTATATATATTATATATCATTATAAGTATTTTTGGCAAAAAAAAGAATTATAAATATATATATATCATGGGCAGGGCCAAATGGGCAGGGCAGCATACCATGCCCGCAGCCCTGCCCTGCCCATAATATGCCCAGTCCAAAAATGCCCATTTTTCTTTGGGCTATTTTTTTTTCGGGCTGGGCAGGGCCATTTTCTTACGGGCTCGGGCGGGCATACTGGGCTAGCGGGCTTGATGAACACCCCTATCCTCAACCATAATCAAGTAAAAAAAGGAAAATGGATATTAAAAAAGACGATTATGGTGTTTTAAGAAAAATGTATTACATTTCTTATAATTAACTAACTTACCTAACTCTCCTAATCTAATCAAATTAGTTAAATGTATCTTATATTAAGGACCAGAGGAGTATTATACCTTATTTTGTTCTAATAAAAAATTGACTACTTTAGCCTCATAAAATTTAAATTAATTTTTTCACTTTTTATTTTGTTAAGATATAACTATATATATAATACAATTCACTAATTTTGATTTACAAGATACAGTCATACACTTATAGAATATCAAGACAAAAACTCACAAGTGATAGATTTCAATCAGAGAAAATACCAACGGCCTCTTAGAATTAGAAGAAGAGAAAAAAAGTTTACAAATGCTTACTAATTTTGGAGATAATTATCTTAATAACCTCTTATTAGATGCTCAAAAAAACTCTCTTATGTAAAAATGTTTATGACTGATTAGAAGTTAACAAATCAAAAGGGCATATAAGGAATTAAAATATCATCTCTCGTCTCCCCTCCAAAAAACCCCACTTTTGGAGGGGAGGCTAGAAGGGAAGGGGAGGGGAGAAAAACCTCTCCCCTCTTTAAAAAACATCTTAACCAAACGAGGGGAGGGGAGAAGCTCCCCTCCCCTTCTAAAAAATTATACCAGCCAAACAAGGGGAGGGGAGCAACTTCCCTCCCCTCCCCTCCGAAAACCCCGTACCAAACATAGCGTTAAGTGTTTAAATATACATAATGATATTAAAATATGAATATTATGGAACATTGTCTCCTCATTAGATCATGATATACAGTAAAATTAGGATTTGACTTCATACCTGCTTTTATTCTGATGAGAATTTCTATTACTCTTCTTTTAATTTAAATAGGGTTTAATTTTCACCACTCAAATAAAAATTTTTAAAAAATTAATTAAGTTATTTACTTATAACAAGTATATATTGAATTTTTTTTCAAATTAGTTCTTTGATTCTCCTCCATTAAAAACACTTATAGGAAATTGAGATCTAATGTTTAAAAAGAAAAAACAAACTTCTCTGTCAATTTTGATGAGTATAGAGTATGTTCATATGTACATCATTTGCCACAGAGAAAACGTAAAGAAAGAATATTGGGAACCGAAATTAGTAGGTCGGCAGTCAGGTGTGGGGTGGGCCCACGTCTTGAATTTACTAGGGTGCGGCGGATCCACAATTTATGTTTCGTGTGAGTTTTGATTTCATGGGCTTATAATTTTTGCCATGCCAAAATGGCACTAATTTAACATGGCAAGAAAATATAAGAAAAAATCATTAAAAAGACTTAAAAATACAAAAATTATAAATAGGGGCCATTATAATATTAGTATTAGTTTTGATAATAATTTTTATAAATAAGTCTCTATGTTTAATTTTTCAATTTTTAAATTTTTTTTTACTATTTTTCCAAAATATAATTTCACACAAAAGTTTTATTATTCACGATTTGGAAAGAGACTTACTTTGGGATCAATTTAATGGTGAAGCAGCATTCACCTTCCTCGTCTTATTTTTTTAATTATATTTAACATTCTAATTTTATTTATAATATATAAATATATAAATATTATATTTTAATATTTTTTATATCTTAATTTTATTTATAATGTATTCAGTATTTTAATTAAAAAATAATATATAAATATACTACCTCTGATTCTTAATATAACACCTTGTTTAACTTTTATTTTTTTTAAATATAAGACTCCAAGTCTCTAATCCACTTTGTCTCTTATATTTATGCATTTTATTTATATACCTGATTAGTAAAGATATTTTAGAAAAGACAACATATATTTATTATAAATAAATATTTTAATTTATATTTTTAATTTTTTTAAATTAGTCAACTAGTTTTTATAAATAGGATCAGAATTAGAATTAGGTAAGATTGAATGATAGGAGCAAATAACATCTAGGCGGCTATTCCCTAAATTCAAATATAAAATATTCGCATTGATATATTGCCATCATTGATTGGTAGATTTGAGCGTGAAATCCACTCACATGAACCACAGTTCCCCTCACCGTAAAACAGAAATAAACGTGAAAACTTGAAAAGAGAGGCAAACATTAATGAACCAGACTTCATAAATTTCTGTTGATCAGAAAATAACGATCATTTAATTCAGAACCAATTAATAACAGATCTAATAAAAAATAGAGGAAATAGCAAATAAAAACTCTTAAATATGTAAAATTATGATTTGGGATCCTAAATTTGAAAAATAGCAAATAAGGACCTGATCCTGCTTTTGCAAATATGAAATATGGATGAAATGTCTGAAATACCCCAGCTAAATTGTGATTTGGGGCCTGTTTGGGTGACTCCCAAAACCATGGTTTGGGAGGCAAAACCAGTGGAATGTCATCCAAACAACATCAATTTTGATGCCATAATATGAAACTATGATTTGGGCCAAAACCATGGCTTTGGATAGTTTCAGGAAAAGTAAATCCATTCTGTTTTTAGCTCAAATTGGAGAGTATGATTGTGTTTGTCAGAGTAGATCTCAACAATAATATGACTTTAACATCCCTTAATTAATTTTTTATAAACATGTTAATCTTATATCTTATAAATATATATACACATATTCCTCCGATCCTAATTATAAGACCCAATTGACTTATTTGAGGAAATTAAGGAAGTAAGTTAAGTTGGTTATTTATAATAAATAAGTGTTGTTATTCCTAAAATATCCTTGCTAATTAAGTATATTGGCTAAAGCTATCATTATTAGAAGGATTATCTTGAAAAAAAATGCATAAATATAATAGAGAGAATGGATTGGATCTTATAATTAAGACCAAATAAAAAGTCAAATTGGGTCTTATAATAAGGACCGGAGGAGTATTAATTATTCATTAATTATATTATCTTATATATTATTAATTATGTTGGTAAAAAATATATTATTAACAATTTTGTTCCTTCAAATTAAAATATATCATAAAATCTATCTTTTTATGTAATTATTATATTAACTTATGTCTTTTTTAGTAATTTGTATATATAAAAAGTGCTTCTGATAACAACTATCCAAACACTCTTACTTCTCAGAATCACTTTTTCACAAAATCTATTCTTCGCAAAATTTATTCTCTCCAAAATCTATTCTCCAGAAGCTATTCTTCAAATCATGGTTTGGTTTCATCCAAACACCTCCTTGGTCTATTGAAGTTATCATTCGTTAAAGTGAACTTATCATTTCCTACAGTAAACTTGTCATTTGGTATGCCCTTAATCAAGTTGTGATTTGGTTTACTCAAATTATCATTTGCTAAAGTGAACTTGTCACTTCTTATAGTCAATTTGTCATTTGACTGAGAGGTATTTCAGACATTTCATCCACATTTTATATTTGCAAAAGTAAGATTGGTCCTCATTTGATATTTTTCAAATTTATGATCTCAAATTGTAATTTTATATATTTGGGGGTTCTATTTGCAATTTTCCCTAAAAAGTAAATAATCTATTTTTAATATTTGCTCTTTTTTGTCTCCTACCCAAATATCTTCTGATTATCGTCCTCTCACTGTAGATAGATTTTACATTTCTACTGACAAATTCTCACGCGCTGCGAAGTCACGTCGAAAATTGAGTGCCAAGGGGATGGACCCGACAGATGAATCAGTGCCAGGTAGATGACGGAATTGCGTGACAAGCGCTGTATCTGTCTCCACGTTAGAAATTTCAAAAGCGAATCCAAACCCAGTAGGCCAGCAGTACGACTTCTGATGAACATGTCATCACCCCATTCATTTTTCAATATCATCATCTTCTTCTTCGTTCCAAGGAAGAAAAGAAAAGAAAAGAAAAACATGATTCTCGTTTTTGTTTGTTGGGTTTGGCAAAATACGTGAATCTTGTTCTTCTGAGTTGAATGAGAATGACCTGCAGATTCAACTTTCGTTTTCAACCACCGTAAATGGCTCATCTTCGTAATTTCACCCCAACATTAGGGCCCATTCACCAACCGATCCACCACTAGGCTCTCTCTTCTTCTCACTATATAAGCGACACGCTCCAACCATGCCATCCTTCTCCTCCTTCATCATCATATATCGCCCTATTCAGTCCCCTTAATTCAATATATACCGTTTGCCTTCTCTGTTCTTTTCTCCAATCTCTCCCCTTTACGTGCCAATTCGGGGTTATTCAGGTTTGTCTGTCTTCGAATCGGCATTTTCTTTCAGTTTGTGTTCTTTTGGGGTGATTACTGTGCATTGGTTGATCTGAATCCGGAGTTTCAATCTGTTTGTTTCTTTTCTGATTCCTTTCATCCTGTGGATCTGGGCGTGGTTATGAACATTGCTCTTAAATGCACCCATTCCATGTCTGGCTTACGTGTTTCAGCTGCCAAAGTGCAATGATGTAGTATGTGCTCGAAGTTCACCTTTTGGTTTCTTGTTTTGATTGGAACTTGCTTCTTATTTTGTCGGTGCTTAATTTATTGTGTGAAATACTCATTCACGTGGTGCGTGGGACTAGAGGCATTGTGTGGAAAGCATACGTTGGAAGGATTCTCAGTTCTTACGTATCAAATGTAACATATCATCTCAAGGCTGCAAACGGTAGACCCAGGACGTATGACGTTGTAGTGCTTACGTCCCTATTAGCCTATAGATCAAACTAGAGAAAGAGTAAATTGTATAATAACTTGAGTTCTTTCCATGGTGAGACAATGGTCATTGGACTGTTATGTCCGGGACTCAAATGCTGATACCATCACATTTATGGGTTAAGTGTAGTTATAGGTCATTTGGGAAGACATCAAAAAAGAGGTTCGGAGAGGAGTGCACTGAAAAACCAAAGATTTTCTTGGTGTAGCTTCAGAAATCGAGGACCCATATTTAACCAGAATCTAATGTCGTGTGTGATCTGAAAATTATCCCTTTTAATGATCACTGAACCCAGAATGGGTGTTCCATCATGCGTCTCGGTCTGCGATAACAGTGAGGCCAAGAAACACTGCCGTTGTGAGCCAAACTATTCAATGTGAGATCTGAACCTGGACCGCGCACCGTACTAGCTTGACTTTAAAAACTATACTAACATTTTAGAGTGAAATGATTGTCTTTATACAAAAAACATTTCAATTTGTAGGCTGTTAAATTGAAGCGCTTTTAAAAGGCAGCAACATGTACATACTTCTTGTCTGATATTACCCGATAATACGTTGGGGCTTATAGTTTACGATCAAAATATTTGTGTTATTAATCTTGATTATTCTATTTGTATTGATTGACCATTATTGATCCAGGTCGTTGCCAATAAATTATAAATCTGCTATATATCTAATGGAGTCATCCTCTGGGGTTCATTTTTCTGGACTTCACATGAATGGTTCAGCACAGAGGAACGTTGACGCAGAGCAACCTACAACTTCAGCTGCTGACATGTATAAACAACCTTTCGTTATAGGTGTGTTTTCCGTGCAGCAAGCTGCCAGTGTAGTTTTAATGATAAGGGGACTTGATGGTGGTGTGCTTACTTTGTCTAATGTTTTTTTTTTCCCCCCCTTCGAACTGATAAGTATAGGCTTAAAAAACTCCTGATGGACTTATTGCTAAAGAGTATAAACTGAGGGTTGCAAGAGCTCGTAAGTTGATTGACTTGTTCTGTGAGGACAGGATAAATGTCACCAACCCTGCTTTTTGTTCAATGGATTTGGTTCAAATGAACCTTTCACTTTCCTTTATTATACAAAACAGCTTGAATGTATGAAAAGCATAAGGCATTAAAATAATTGTTTGAAGTAGTTGAAAGTAAAAATGACTTAACCATGATTCATATTTGCTGGGAGAAAGCATGGTCATCTTACTGACAACTTGCAAATTAACATGAAATGAACATTAGAATTCTACGTGCTAGTATAAGCTATCATCTTAATAACAGCTTACCTATTTCTTCTGGCTTTCAAAGTGATGTGAACTTGTTTATGAATGTTAGCACTGTTAGCATTGATGTTTTCTATTGTCCCTAAATAATTAGATATGATATTTTCAAATAAGCTTAAATATCATATTTTTCTACTTTTTAGGTGTTGCTGGGGGAGCTGCATCGGGGAAGACTACAGTTTGTGATATGATTATTCAGCAGCTTCATGACCAACGAGTTGTACTTGTTACTCAGGTAATGAATCCTTTTTGAATACCCTAATGAGATTTGATATTTGTAAATCTATTGATCTTTGAGGGCAATAATACTCAGAAAGAACTTGATAGCCTCAAGCTTTCTTAACACAAATCTTATTATTTTACTCACTCTAATCTTTTCTCTAGTTACTTTATTCATCTTGATAAGTGTATGTCGGTAGTTACAACGTTGATTATAGCTAACTATTTATTTGAAGAACCAGAGCAACTGACAGCGACACCTAACTCACTAATATTAAAACCAGACAACGATTACTCCCCCTCAAAAAAAATAGTTGTGTAGCAATGGCTGAAGTAGGAAAAATCAATGAATTATTCTTGTATAACTAGTAGCCACTCCTAGGTTGTATCTTCAATGTTTCTATTGAATGAGGATTTATCATTCGAGATGTGAAAATTATTATTTTAACTATAGAAGCAAGAAATAAGCTGGACACTGTGTTTCAAAATGCGAGCTGATGTTACTTATTATACTGATGTTTCTTAGTATACATATAATTAATTTTTTACAATGATATGAGTTAATAATGCTACAGGATTCTTTTTATCATAATTTGACTGAAGAGGAACTTACAAGAGTCCAAGATTACAACTTTGACCATCCTGGTCAGTAAGCTTCTATTCCTTTATCTCTCATTATTTGCTACTTTATTTTTTTAAAAATAATTGCATTATGTTGATGTAAATTTTATTTGGTTTTATGTATATTTATAGAACCAAAGAAATTGCATATAGGATAATTGAAATGAATATAGAATGTCTCTGTAGTGATGATTTTCTATCTCCAAGATCTAGTCAGAGAGTTCTTTCATCTATTCTGATTTTTCTTTTATTAACAATTAGATTCTTGGTCTTTACTTTGCATATTTGAATGATTGCTCTATTACTTTTCTAAATCCCAGCATTATTTCTAAAGCAAAATTGCCTAAATTATCAGATGCTTTTGACACTGAGAAGCTATTATGGGTTATGGACAAGTTAAGGCATGGACAAGCCGTAGATATTCCGAACTATGACTCAAAGAGTTACAAGAGCGATGTGTTTCCAGCAAGAAGGGTATGTCTCTTGCACTTCCTTTTTTGCCATGCAGTTTTGAACCCCCTTCTCTTCCCTTTCTTAAATGCTAGTTGGCCTTCTATTTTTGATCTGTTGGTATCATCCCTATGGAATTATGTTTTTTGCATGATGATGAATGAACTGCAGAAACTTGACGTGTTTCCTAATTTGATTTGACTTTGTTATATGCATGAAAAAGCCTTCTCTGCCTTTCTTCTACATGGGATCAAGTCCTTCCTGTTGGCAAGTGTGTTGTAGGAGGGTCCCTCCGTTTTTCTTGTTAGGATGATTTGGCTGACTAATTATTGCTAATTCACACAGTGCATTCTCCAACAGAGGGCAAAGGATTTTTGAAACAAAATTCCAGTTATTATTTTCCCATTTTATGTTGTTTAATGCATTTTGCAGGTGAATCCTTCAGATGTTATAATTTTGGAAGGAATTCTTATTTTCCATGATCCACGTGTTCGGGAGCTGATGAATATGAAGATATTTGTTGACACAGGTCCTTTATTTTTAATGTTTCTATTTAACTAGTAGAATTTATAATATCTCGCATTTCTTCTGTAGATGTATGTAATATCTAGGCTAGCTTTTGTATGTTGCACCTTCTAGAGGCCATGATACCATTTCAAAGGCTATTTCAAATCCAAGCTTAACCATTTCAACGAAGGATCATAACTAGTTTCGTTATAATCTGACATATAAAATGAAGTTGTTTCCAAACTGGTATGTTTTAGTATCTTTGTGTTGCAGTACTAAGTTAGGATGTCATACTCATTGTATAATGTTCAGTGCAGATGCTGATGTTCGTTTGGCCAGGAGAATTAGGCGTGATACCTGTGAGAAGGCTCGGGATATTGGCTTAGTGCTTGATCAGGTACCAAATATCATTGGTTGAACCAGTTGTACTACCATGAACATGTTTTGGTCATCTGTTGCTCCTCGTTTTCTATATATATATATATATATATATATATATATATATATATATATTTTCAATGTTGCTTATGTTTCCTGAGTTGTAAGATTTTGCAAACGTGAGAAAGTCAGTGTTTTGCTGTGGATTAGTTTCAGTGCAAGCTTCTTGACCAGAAAACAATTCCTTGGTGTATTTTCTTATGGAATCAAAGCCTTACGGATGGAATTTGTGCTCATGAAAATAGTGGTCACCCTTATATATTCTTCTATACAAACTAGTGATAATTTGACCAGATTCGATAGTTAACATTTTTATTATACCTGATGCAGTATTCTAAATTTGTAAAGCCGGCTTTTGATGACTTTATTCTCCCAACAAAGAAATATGCTGATATCATTATACCCCGTGGAGGAGACAATCATGTGGCCATTGATTTAATCGTACAGCATATCCGGACAAAGCTTGGTCAGCACGATTTGTGTAAAATATATCCTAATTTATATGTCATTCAAACAACTTTTCAGGTACCTCACTCTTGCTATTTATTGACATTTTAATCATTCCACTCTCCTTTCCCTAGAAATCCAAACTCTTTCATTATAAAGGTTGAATCACCGTGGTAACTTCTACCATGCAGATACGGGGTATGCACACCCTGATACGTGATTCTCAGACAACAAAGCATGATTTTGTGTTTTATGCTGACCGTTTGATTCGTTTGGTATGTATACAGGTTCATTTGTTGTTTTCTCAATTTTGTGATGGTGTGACAGTTTCTTTATAGACTATTAGTCACAATTCCTGCGCTTGACCAGGTTGTTGAGCATGGCCTGGGGCATCTTCCATTTACGGAAAAGCAAGTAATAACTCCAACTGGTAAGTTTTTCTTTTCGATGCTTGCTTGTAAAGGTATTATTTGCTAATTTCCATGCTGTGGAGTTAGTTGAATAAATGTGCTGAATACTGTTCGGTTAAGAAAAGTGCCCATTAATGTAATGAGTATTAATCTGTGTCTTGGCGATGCATCATTCTCCTCTCTTTTACTATTGATTGTGTTGGATGTACATGACGGTTTCTTGTTTATCAGCTGCTGTCATTCTGTCTGCTGGCTTTTTATGGTGAAAACTGATTCTTTTCCTTCAACACGTAACTGCAGAGTCTGTATATACTGGTGTGGATTTTTGCAAGAGGTTATGTGGTGTCTCCGTTATCAGGAGGTATAAGTCTCCAGTCCAAAGTTGACATCACTGGGGCATTTGATTTTCAGATTTTGTCTTCCTTGCTTCCAGCTCTGAAGAATAAGTTTACGCATATCCTCTTAGTTGTCCCAAATATTTGAATAAATAGAAAGGAATGATCTTTGTCAATTTGGGCTCCCAAGTAATATATTGTACAATTGAAGGAAAGGTATCCTTTAGTTGTCCCAAAATATTTAAAAACCACTTTCTGTTCTAACGTCATTATCCAACGTTGATTTAATTTCAGTGGAGAGAGTATGGAAAATGCTTTACGTGCTTGCTGTAAAGGTATCAAGATTGGTAAAATTCTTATTCATAGAGAAGGTGACAATGGTCAGCAGGTTTGTGCACCTGCATGTGTGCTTGGTGCTTATGTGTCTTTAATTTCATAATCACTGACATCATATCCTTTGATCATTGGATAGTTAATATATGAGAAGTTGCCGAACGATATCTCAGATAGACATGTGTTGCTGTTGGATCCTATCCTGGGAACCGGTTTGTCATTCTCATATCTATCAGTTTAAATTTTCCTTTCCATATCAAAAGAGAATAAAAACTGTCTGTGGCCTACTGCAACTAAGTTCTAGGACTCTTCATCTTTGGTCATAAACTTTCAAATATTTTCTTCTTTAGGTAATTCTGCTGTTCAAGCAATTTCTTTGCTTCTCAGAAAGGGTGTACCGGAGTCCAACATTATATTTCTCAACCTCATATCAGTAAGTTACTGGGTCATAATTTATCTATTTCTCTCACCACACACACACTCTCTCTCAAAAACATCTCCGTTTTCTGGTGTCTCTAGCTGCAATTTGCTCACGGGTTCTTATCTTGGCAGGCACCTCAAGGTGTGCATGTGGTCTGCAAGAAGTTTCCCAGAATAAAAATTGTGACATCCGAGATTGATTTTGGTTTGAATGAAGATTTTCGTGTTGTACCTGGCATGGGTGAGTTTGGGGACCGTTATTTTGGAACAGATGATGATGATGACCAACAAGTGGTGGCCCCTTCACAAGATTGAATCTCTGTGCAAAATCCACAGCAATTTTTGGATAATTGGTGCTCTGAATTTCAGTTTTAAATCAATTTTGGCTAATGTTATTGAGATTTCTTTTACAGTTATTTCCCACCAAGATCTCAATGTCATGTGGATCCGGACCCTATATATAGAAATCAATATATATATAATTTAATCTTGTCTTGGTTTGCGTTATTAAGAACTTAAGATTGCTTTTTGAATATTCTAGGAGCGCAGAAATTTTTAAGTACTCCCAAATCACCATGTGGGATGTTATTTGTAATCTGCCTAACGCAAAAAAGAGAATTTTTGGCACTCTTATAATACCATCTCATTAGTGCTTTATCCAATGCAAGTGTCATTTGTGATGGATAATCTGGCTTCGCTCCTCTATTCATTCTCTCCACTACCTATCCTCCGCCCCTCGACGACGCCGTTGTGGGTATGAAATGGAGCCAGGCATGCCAGCATGCCTCTCCTCTGCAATACCTATTTGCCACGTAAGCATCAAAGTAATTTTTTTAGGAGCATCTAATAATTTTTGGTATAGTTTGCCCCGTGTTCGTTTGTGACATGATAGCACATGGGACTGCCTAAAAGTTTCTCACAAATGTCAAGGATGTGGGGCCCATCACACGTGTCTACATTGAGGGTATATAAGAAATTTGGAAATTCTTAATGAAGGATTCCTCAGCAATGTCAATGAAGGTGACAGATTTTAAAATTTTAAAGTTCCGAAAAAGAATATGGTTTTTGGTTGAAATCAACTTTTCTGAATTACTCCTCCGGTCCTAATTATAAGACCCAATTGACTTATTTGAAGAGATTAAGGAAGTAAGTTAAGTTGGTTATTTATAATAAATAAGTGTTGTTATTCCTAAAATATCCTTGCTAATTAAGTATATTGGCTAAAACTATCATTATTAGAAGGATTATTTTGAAAAAAAATGCATAAATATAAGAGACAAAATGGATTGGGTCTTATAATTAGGACCAAATAAAAAGTCAAATTGGGTCTTATAATAAGGACCGGAGGAGTAATATTTTTCAGCACTCATTTTTTCCATATTTTCGGTATCCATATTCTTAATTTTCAGTATTTAGTTTTTAATTTTTTTTTTTCAGTTGTCATCTTAGATATTTTAAATACTTATATTGAAAAGAATAAAATGTAAGCATTGAAAATGTGGAGATGAGGGTTGAAAAATATGGAAGATGAGTGCAAAATAAAAATAATTCACAGCAATTTTAATTGCAACTAGTGACGAAGATTTTTTTTTTTAAAAAATTTCACGTTCCTTCCATTTTCCAAATGGTTATTCAAATTCGACATCTAATAAATTTTTTTTTTTTACCTCGATCAAGTATTATATTTTGGATTTGGAATCGTATGATTTTTTAATTCATAGTAACATTAGTCAATGATATTAAACAAAATTTTATTTGAGTGAAAATTGCAATTATGTTTTACGCTGTAACATATAGACGCTCCTAGGATACGGAGATGGGGGAAGAGAATCCAAATTTCCATGAATTCGATTTTTGATTTTTCTTATCACAATGGACCCACAAATAAGACCATGATTCAACCTTGAATCTTCTTCTCGGCCCATAGGCCCAAATTGTAACTTGGCTGGGCTGATCGGGCCTTTCGACTTTTCTTCTCCGTGGCGAAGGTAGATGCAACCCAAAGGGCCAACTTGTACGAGCAAACACATATTGGGCCGTATGCTATTATTTGGGCCTATTAGCAGAATAAGGCAAAAGCTGACCAGGAAACCCAAAGAAAAAGAAGAAGAGCAGAATGGTGTCGCTCCAAGGACTGACCAGGGTGGACCGCCCTGGCGAACAACCGTCCCTGACATAACGGGAGCTTGCATGAACATGGCAAGTTTCGCGGGTAAAATCGGCTTCAAAATCTCATCACAGCTTCAATGTCGCGTATATTCGGTTCCCTGGTGAGAATTTTCTCAGCTGCTTTTAAATTTTCTTTAGTCTTTGTTTGGCTGCTGAGAAAAGTTGAGTTTGCGAGGAGACAAAATATCAGAAAATCTTTTGGGTGTTTGATTATTGTACGTATTAAAGTAGTGCAAACTTGTTTTCCTACTTGTAGTATCGGGTTAATTTGATGGTGGCTCCCTTATTCATGTCTGTCTACCAAATCTCCTACAGAAAAAGTCTCTGCTCTGAATCATTTTGGGCATGATTCGTATCTCTGTGTTTTTTTCCTCTATTAAAAGTAGGGCAATATGGAAGAATCAGGTTACATGCTTGAAGAGTAGAGACCATAGTTCTTCGGCTCCAGTTAGGTACACTCCTAAGACATCCTCCAAAGTGAAACTATCTGAAACTTCTCCGCAAGTGAAAAATTTGGAAAAAAGTAACTACTTTAGTCGAGCTGATATAAGCGCACTAGAGATCGATTGCGAAGAATCTGAACGGGGAAAAATTGGTCAGTGTGAAGCATCACAAATTCACAATGAAATGCAGAATAACTTGCTGTTTGATGACATGGGACAAGGTAAAATGCTTTTTCACATCTTTCAATATTTGTAGCATATGTCGTTTGAGGTCACGATTTTGGAGGTAGTTTCGCAATGTATGGGAACCATGGTGCCAAATTAACCAGGATAGCTAAGCGGAAAAACCTATATGATTTTTAGATTTTTTGTATTAACAAAATAATTTTTTTGCTAGATCACAATTTTATCATTGTGCGGGAGTGGCTAAAAACTGTGGCACTAGCGTGCTTTTGATGAACCTAATTTTTAAAGTTCAATTTAGTTTTTTTGAAAATGGTATTGTCAGTAGGGTTCAGTTTGTGATTCGTGATATTATTACCTGTCTTCTTTCTGTAACTTCTGTGCAGTTGCCTTTTCATAACGTCTTCTTGCTTGTCGTTTTTATTGAAAAGGGAAAAAAAAAAAAAAATCAATGTATTAACTTCGAAGGCGGGTTGAGAGAAATTGGGCAAGAAAGGGCTGAATGTGTTATGCTATCTTATGGTAATCTAATGTTCCTTCTCTAACTCTAAACGTACAATATGCACAAGCTTGTATCATTTATCAACTAAGATTATGGTTATATATATTTTCTTGTTATATTCCATATTAGTTTGAAGTACTCCTCCGGTACTTAATATAGGACCTTATTTTTAAGTTAATTTTGGTCCTAAATATGATACCTATTTCTCATATTTATCAAGTTTTTCTAAATTATCCCTA